GACATCAGTTAAAGAACCACTGGAAAACCTGGGAGTACTAAACAGCGGATCGAAGATGGGTCAGTAACTCATCGAAGAAGACATTGCGAAGTGGTCGCGCTATGTCGTGAACTGTCAGAAGTTAGAATTCAAGAACCATTGGATCGGGTCCCAGTGGCTCAATGGTCTACGAGCTCGCCTTGTAACCGGAAGGTCCTGGGTTCGAATCCTGGTGGTGGGTGCGTACTGATGAAGAGTCCCAAACTAGGACGAAACAGTTGTCCAGTACTCCCAGGTTTTCGAGTGGTTCTTTAACTGATTTCAGCTCATGGTGAAATATTCCATACTATGAGACTTTGTCAAATAAATTTACTCTATGATTGATGCAATCCATTTTAGCATCATGAGTACTTCTGTAGCTTATCCTGTTGGTCCTTGAATGTAGTTATTTGTGTTTTGTGCTTCTGTTTCCGATTGTCTTTATGTATACTTTGCATGGCTGTGCAGTTTGCTATTTTTTGTTTTTCATTTGTCCGAGGGTTAAGTCCCAGTATTACTATAAATATATTGACCTTACCATATTAGTATAAAACTTGTCACTGTGATAGAGTATAACTCCATTATGGATATGATTATGAGCAATAATTTGTGCTCGAAACGTCATCAATTAATATTATTGTACAACACTATGCGATTTATCAAAATAAAATTTTATCCATAATAGGGTATATTGGCCTTTGACTAACATGAGTACTTGGCTTCCTAAATGCCTTTGGTCTTTTTTGAGTTTCCTCTTTTTAAGGTATGGTAGACAACCCCAGTCAATCCCTTGATAAGAAGTTCTTACAGCCTAATTGTTTATAAAGTTGTTATCATTTGTTTGTCTAGAATGACTTGGTGAAATTTTATATCACTAAAATCACCGTATTATGTCATGTATATCCTGCATCATCTTGACAGCTTGGTTGCCATCAGAATTTGGTATGTGTTCGTACAAACAATATTAGCACATATCGTTATATCCAATCTGGCCAGCTGACGGTAACTATTATTAACCTGGTCGAAACCCATTAGCCAGGTATACAGTGTGACCGCGTCGGTGGCATAGCGATTAGGACGCTCGCCGACCATGCACATGGTCCGGGGTTCGATCCCCGGCCGACACACTCCTTTACCTCGTTGAGCCTGAAATAATCCTGGTAAAGGGGAAAGGTTGGGCATGTGGCTAGCAACCCCATCCTGTAAAAATAAACACTGATACAGAAACTTCAAGCCAATAGCTTGATGCCCTATGTTCCATTTGGGAGTGTGAAGGAAAAAAACAGTGTGACCAGTATGCTGAATGAATTTATAGTCATATTTCAAAAACTGTCAGTTGCTCCTGAAAATTCTAGCGCAAGACTGACGACTGTATGAGTTGCATCCTCATTTCTTTCTCTCTAAGAAATAACCTATTTTCAATGCTTTGAAATCGGTACTTTGTTTGCTTCCGTCTCTAACTTCTATAAAGTGCACATCCTGTATCAAGTGAATAAAGACTGAGGATTACAAGGGTATCTTGATTATGATTAAAGCTGTCATTGTACATTCGTTGTTTAAATAGTTGTTTTTTCTAATGACGTCGCTTCCACCGACGCACACTTGTTCGCTGTTGATTGAATACTTATTATTATTTATTGAATTGGATTTTTTTGATTTTCCCGTCGATTGATTGGACCGAAGTGCTCGGTCTCAAGTTGACATGTCGGCTTCTTGTGCAGATGCTTCGACGATGTCTGGGCATTTAGTTAGGATACAATTGGTGGATGGTGACTAGCAATGGAATCCAGGATGCACATTCGTCCTGTTTGGGACTCGTCAGCTGGATGTACCTGCATTTCACAGTGAATGATGATGTTCCCACCGAGGCTCGAACCCAGTACCCATAGTTTCGAACGCCAAAGCGTTATCCACTTCGGTCCAATCAATCGACGGGAAAATCAAAAAATCCAATTCAATAAATAATATGACCCGTTGCACAAGAGGTGGCTCTCGTGGCCCAAGTGGTCTAGTGGATAACGCTTTGGCGTTCGAAACTATGGGTACTGGGTTCGAGCCTCGGTGGGAACATCATCACTCACTGAGACATGCAGGTACATCCAGTTGACGAGTCCCAAACAGGACGAAATGAGCATCCTGGATTCCACTGCTAGTCACCATCCACCAATTGTAACTTATTATTATTATATCCTTTAATTCCTAGAGGAACATAGGGCTTCAGCTGCGCGTCTCCATTGCCTTCTGTTTTCTGCCAAATTTTTCACCCCGCTCCAAGTCTGCCCACATGCTTTCATCTCCTCTTCACATGACCTCCTCCAAGTCACCCTTGCATTGACGACCAACTCATCGCTTCCCTTTCGGGTTTCACTCGAGCAATGGCTTGTCTAGTGATGTCACTTGATGGTTTCCTCAGAGTATGACCAGCCAATCCATCTCCATTTCTTCCTGCCTATTTGTTTCACAATCGGTTCCTGATTGGTTCGCTCATTGCCAGAGATCCCTGTTTCTGATCTTTTCTGGCCATCTGATCTTGAGTATTGAGCGGAGACAGTTGTTAATGAAGGTTTGAAGTTTGTTTGAGATGCTCTTTATGACTCGCGCAAGTCTCTGATCCGTATAGTAGGACTGACTTCACATCAGAGTTGAAAATCCGGATCTTATTTTTGATGATGAGTGCTGTTGACCTCCACACAGATTTGAGAGTAGTGAAAGCTTGTCTTGCTTTTCCGATTCTGGCTTTGATATCCTCGTCAGTTCCGCCGGCCTGTAGTTGAGACGATGCTTCCCAGGTAGGTGAAGGAGGTTGTTTCTTTCAGGTTCCTCCCATTTATGCTGGCTGATTGTCGTCTGTTGGTGTTGGCCAGGAATCTTCATCACCTCTGTTTTATCTATGTTCACTTGATGGAATACTTATCCCAGTAGAAAAATATTAGTAAGAAGCTGATCCTGTGTATTTATTAATATTATTATTATTATAAATAGTGCTTCATTTTGATTCTGTAGCGGTTACAATCATACATTTCCTTTCGATATTTCATGTATCAATTCCACTTTTCACACACGTCTGTCGACGTTACATTTGAGTATTTTAATGTTAATTTCTTAGGAATATCTGATTGTCAATATTACTTTGGTATCAAATATTAGTAATAATATTATGATTATCATTAAGGCGTTTAATAGAATTTCTATCACAGCATTACTTTTGCAAAATGAATTTAGAGAGAATAAATAGTAAAATTCATTTACTCCTGATGATACATGGATCAGTAATATTTGTTTCTGGCGAAATCTTTAAAGTAAACAATTAGCATATTACTCATCAGTGTAAAGAGAGGTGGTCATATGTTCAGTCATATCCTCAATAACCTTGAGAAGCATTGGTTATTCAGTGGTTGAAATAACGTGACCTGTTTTCTTTGTTGTCACTAATGGGATTGCTGTTGTGAATATTTATTCACGTGTTCATCGTCTGTACATTGATCACCTGTGATAATAAATACAATAAACCAACATGTCCTCGTGAAACTCACACTTATCAACAATTCTGTCTAGTCTTTGTTTAGAAGTAATTATTTTTTTTCACCATAAGCTTTGTTTACTTAATTGTAAGCATTTGTATTAATAACATTTGTCAAATAAAATATTGTAATTTTCTATATATCCGGTATAGGCGTGGAGTCGCTTCGACTGTATTTGTTGGGTGTTGATTCGATAAACATAGATTTAGTGATTAATCTTTCTTTAATCCATCTAACTATATTATTTTTGGATTTCATCATGAGCTGACATTAGTTAGAGAACCATTGGAAAATCTGGGAGTATTGGACAACTGTTTCGTCCTAGTTTGGGACTCTTCAGCAGTACATACCCACCGGGATTTGATCCTAGGACCTTCCGGTTACAAGGCGAATTCGTATACCATTAAGCCACTGGGACCCGATCCAATGGTTCTTGAATTCTGACTTCTACCTGAAACCAATCAAATCCCTACAAACCAACACTTGAGTATATTATTTTTTTTTAAGAATTAATTGTACCCTATTCCATTGTGCTGTGTGACTGCATGCAAGCAAATACACTGCAATGACCATAATTCTACTCTAGATTATTTAACCTAGCAGAGTCAATTCTGTGTAGAAATCTTAATCAGACTTATTGGTATGAATTATTAAATTGACATTTTTTGTGAGAAAAGGTATTTTCAGTGTCTAGGATGGTATACCAATCAGCCGAAGTTTTAGGACCATACCTTATCGCTATTCAAATAAATTCGATTTCATTTTTATTGTTTAAATAGCTGCTGATAAGAGATGTTCTTCATGATTTGTAAAGACTCAAAGTTGGTTGCCTGACTCAATAATATAGCATATAAACAAAAGGTTCAAAGTTTTAAAAGCGTTCTGTTGATTATTGAGTTTTTATTGGTCAAACGATAAAGTCTTTTGGTGCTAGTTTCTGACTGTGCTTTGACGAGTTGTGTACATTTTTACCACACTATTTTCATTTATTTTATAAATGCAATTCGACTCAAAAAATTTTGTAACTGTATGTCTTACACAGATATAGTTTATTTATAGTGTCTGATTTTACATCTGTTGACCACTCATGTTATCTCATTTGATAGGCATAACCTGTATGGCATCGCCATGACTATTTAAGTGAATTAATAACTCCTTTATTTATTTTGTCGATATACAGTAATGCATAACTGAAATTCCTACAGTAAATTGTTCAATAAGGTTTGCGAAAGACGAAAGAACGTCGATTTATATTGAGCTATAATTTTAACAACGGTTGTTTGCTATGCATTTGAATTATTGTAGTATAAGATTGACAAGTTTTGTCAATGCGTAGTGTCCTCTTTTTGATATTTGGGTCAAGTATGCACAGGACTTCATACACGTTTTGTGTACATATCTATCATAATCCAAAGTCAATAATCAATCATATTGAACTATTGTATTTTTGTTTTCAAACAGGTGCACCGTATAGTGAACATAGTAGTTTTCTTGAACTGAAAGAATTCATTACGCGGCTTCGTCCATCACGTGTGGTGCCTACCGTACTCGGTAAATCGGCGGCTTCCGTGAAAGATACAGTAAACAGTTGGTTAACATAACTACAGTAAAAATTGTAAATTTGTGATTTCCTAACCAACTTTTAAAGTTTTATTAATTGTCAATAAAATGTATGTACGCTTGCAGATGTACTTATGTTATCTTAGTGCAGCGCTGTCGTGAAGATGTAAGAGTTTGCTGAGACCACATGGATAGTTTAAATTACTGATTATTTGAACGCGGCGATATCTATTCCCAAGTGATTTTGTTGAGCAACATTGTCCAACTTGGTGGTTAAAAATCCTTGGAAGTTATGTTCGAGAAAGAGCTTTTAGATATAAGAGTGAACACGTACCAATGGTTTAATGTTTATCTGTTATTGACTTACTTTCAGTCTTTAAATTTCAATATATATATATATATATATATAACTGAAAAATAACCAATACTTGAATATCTATGAGATGCTCAATGGCGACTGGCCCTACTTGGGTTCTAGAGGGAAGTCGTGACCAGTAGGGTGCAGAAGGTCGGGTGTGAGGACAAATACTCACCGAAGATATTGGCAACGTAGCGGTCGCGCTATGTCGTGAATTGGCAGAAGTTAGAATTAATCCACTGGGCATTGGATCGGGTCCCAGTGGCTTAATGGTCTAAGAGCCCGCCTTGTAACTAGAAGGTCCTGGTTCGAACGCGGCGGGTGCGTACTGTGAAGAGTCCCAAACTAGGATGAAACAGCTGCCCAGTACTCCCTGCAGGTTTTCCAATTTTTCTCCAACCTATGTCAGCTTATGATGAAATTCTGTAGCCAATAACTCAGAGGTTTTTCTATAATGAAGCAGTACATAATGCTTCAATGTTGACTATTGTTGGAGAGAAGAAAAACTAGAAGAATGCGACTTACTTCACCAACAAGGCTTTGTGCACACAGATAGCAAGGTAGAAATATCACATATTAGACTGCAACTTTTATACGTGTACTGTAAAGGTGAGATGTATTTACACAAAGGAGGATTTGTAAGATGCTATGAGTTCCTTCGAAAGTGCAGACATATATTAATAATAAGTGGCAACAAATATAAACGTAAGATCAGTTTTAGATGGATTATCTTCAGTTACTAAGTATCCGGCTAATTATCCGTATCATGCCAGATGATGCATTGCAATATGAAACAGCACAAACCTTGTGATAAGCATACAGTACTTTTTCAATCTAACTGATACTTCCGCTTTGTACACAGGTAAAGAATATGTCAATATCTGTTCATTCAGGCTCCGACCGATAGCTGCTACCTTGACGTGGTGGTCGGGCTTGCACATCACAATGACCCAACAAGTTGCACTGGCTGGAACCAATGTTCCTGCAGGTCTTACCATGCCAGGAAGGTTGTTAGGATAGTTATTAGACTAAAAGCAGTTACCGGCATTGTGTAAGAATCTTTCTTACACTATGCTGGGGGTCTGAGGGCGAAGTCGTACTTCTGGGGAACAGGGGTGTAACATCAGTGAGGTGTTTCCCTCAGATGACCAGCATGCCAGCTATGCTGTCTCTCCACTCCGGAGAAAAGGGGTTAGAAAAGGTCGACCCAAAAAATTATACATCCCGACTTACCCTACGGTGGTCCGTAACCGGCGGTAAGTTTACTAATACGGAACCAATCCCAGAAACCAGTTCATACAGGCCGTGTGTGACCGGCCTCAAGCAGTCGACCCCTGGGCTCTGTGGTCACGCGACACTCTTTCTGTTTCAGGTACCCGAAGAATCAATCAACTTCCACGGTGTGGGCAGCCGGGAAGTAACAACCGCCCAAACACTTCCAAAAGCACACGAAGCCTTCCTGAGCATCATTCCCCTTTACTCACATCACCTTCCTCATCTTGCTTCTCTACTACAGTTAGTACTATTCTGCAGGCTAGTGAGTCATCTTCACTTCACTCTGTGACCACAAACAACGGTGAGAGCCATAGAAACACCCCAGATAGCCTTTTAAAGCCACGTCGCCAACTTCATATAGGAGCATTTAACGTCAGGACCCTCTGCCAAATCGGACAACAGGCATCACTAGCAAGAACTCTGGCATCTCGAGCCATGGATGTATGTTGTGTTTCGGAGACACGCATACAAGACCCGAGTGTGGTCATTCATTTAACCTCACCCGGTCAACAAGGTGAATCTGCGAAATTCACTTTAAGGATGTCAGGAGACCCCTCAGCTAGCTCGCGAGGACTCGCAGGTTTAGGGATAGCTTTGAGTATTTGGCCGGAAAAGTCACTTCTTGACTGGATCCCAGTAGATAGTCGTATGTGTGCGGTCCAACTGAATGGGTCCGTTAAAAGAAGGAAAGACTGTGCTACCGGTCGTTGCCTTTTCGTAGTCTCCGCTTGCGCCCCAACAGACTGCAGTTCGGATGAACTAAAAGATGACTTCTACCTGAAAGTGTCTAATTTGTTGCAAAAAGCAAAACGTTCAGATATGGTTGTTTTTGCAGGGGACTTCAATGCCCAAGTAGGGAAGTTGTGCCAGACTGAGAAGTATATAAGTGGTACGTATGGAGTTCCCTGCCGACGAACCGACAACGGTGATCGTCTCCTACAGTTTTGCTCAGATAATCATCTGTTCCTAGTCAGCATTAACTTTAGGCACAAAGAGACATTGTGTCACCTGACGACCTCCATAATCAGATCAACGCTGAACTCAGATAGACCACATAGCGATAGGGTATCGTTGGTGAGGGTTAGTAGAAGACTGTCGCTCGTATAGGAACACGTGCGTAGACTCTGATCACGCTCTGGTTCGCGCACGTTTATGCTTACGACTAAACGGACATAAGAAATTGACGGCAGCGAAACAGTTACGTCCCCAACTTGATCGGGACACTGAGTCCTTATTTAAGGAAGAAATAGCGAAACGAGTGTCTGAGGTCAACAACAGGACTTCCCCTGAGGTAGCCTGGCACAACATACAGTTAGCTGTAGACACAGCTGTGAAGGCTTTTAATGACATAAAACTAAAGGCTAGTGAAAGCCATTGGATCCCTACCACCTCATCCGAACTGATTGACGCAAGAAGACTGATTCCAGCGAGCTCCAATTATGATGAGGAGCGAAAGCTACCCAAACGAAAACTAACAAGAAGTTTTTGCAACGACCGTGAACAGTGGTGGGCGACAAAAGCGAAAGAGATGGAAAAGGCATCGGCGATTGGTAACACCAGACAACTATTTAGGCTTATCAGGGAAACAGGTGGTAAAAGGCAAATGATAAGTGAAACAATCTCTGAGAAGAATGGCATCATAATTAGCTCTGACGATAGACGACTGGAAAGAACACTATGAGGAGTAGTTTAATCGTCCTACAGCCACGCTCAACCTTCCGAACATCCAACACCTCCCTGAATGGGATATAGACACAGGTCCTCCGTCCTTAACTGAGGTTACTAAAGCCGCCACTAGTCTGAAACAAGGCAAAGCAGTAGGACCTGATGGAATGACTCCAGAGGTATTTAAGTACGGTGGAGACAGTTTACTGTCTGATTACTGATTATCCCGATATACAAGAAGGGAGACAAGTCATCCTGTGATAATCACAGAGGGATTAGCTTGACTAATATAGTATCTAAAGTCCTAGGCTCAATAATCATGCGTAGACTAAGTTGTTCTCGGGAGGCACAAACACGCGAGAGCCAGGCAGGCTTTAGACCAGGAAGAGGGTGTATTGATCATATCTTCACCCTCCGACAGACTCTAGAACATAGGGATTCCTACCGGCGTCCAACAATCATTATATATTACTTGACCTAAAGGCGGAATTCGATTCTGTCGACCGAGAGGTACTCTGGCGATGTTTGGCTGTAAAGGGAATGTCGAGAAAATACATTTCACTGATAAAGTCACTCTACTCGAACTCATGCAGCCAGGTGAGGGCTTACGGCGAGTTGTCATCTGAAGTGGTGACGACTAGCGGTGTCCGTCAGGGATGCCCATTATCCCCATTTCTATTCAACTTCATTATAGATGTACTATTGGACTTAACCCTAACTCACTTCAGAGACTCAGGGATTGACTTGTTACCAGGGAATAATCTCGTTGACTTAGAATATGCAGAAGATATAGTCCTTCTAGGCGAGGATGGTGACAAAATGCAGAGTCTTCTGAACACCTTCAGCTGCAATCCATGAATGTTTAGCATGCGATTCGCTCCCGCCAAATGTAAGATGATCTTACAGGACTGGACTCCTGGTTTAGATATAGGGAGTGAAGTGGTAGAGCACGTTGACAGCTTCACTTATTTGGGAAGTGCCATCACCCCTTACGGGTGGATCGCCGACGAAATCTCAGTACGGATACAGAGGGCTAGTTTTGCATATGCCAGTTTACGCCGTCTCTGGCGTAGACGTGATACCCAGCTATCGACCAAAGGGCGGGTGCACTGCTCATCACTCTGCTCCGTCCTTCTTTACGGCTGTGAGACCAGGCCATTGAGAGTGGAAGACATGAAAACGCCAGCTAGCTGTCTTTGATCATACGTGCCTTCGCTCTATCTCACGTGTGAAGTGGTATAATAAGGTGAGCAATATTGAGGTTAGGAGTCGAGTGCTAGGTATATGAGAGGGGAAATCAGTCGACGAGGTTGTGAAATTACATCGACTGAGATGGTTAGGACATGTGTTACGTATGCCTAGTCATTGCCTCCCTCAACAGACAATGTTACCCGACATAGGGTCAGGCTAGAAAAGAGCTAGTGGCGGTCAAACAAAAACATGCCACCAGTCAATGAAATCTACAACAGTTAGTTTAAACCAGCCACGTAGGAAGGTGTAAACTGTCTTCCTGGTTGGGGTCATCGGAACAGTAAAAACCAATGGTTAGAAAAAATTGGTGATATGGCTAGAAATCGTTCTCAGTGGCGCAGATGCATCCACTCCTTGTGACTTATGATTTCGAATGAAACTGTTTTGTTCTTCGTTATCACTAATCCTTTGTCTCACACATCTGTTTACTGTCTCTAGTATGCGTTTCTTCTGTTGCTTTGTGTGCTACATGGAGGGAGTGTGGCGACTTGAACTGGCGCACATCGGTGCAAAGTTATATTCAGGCCAGCGGATGAAGTTTTTCAATACTATGTCAGTTCAACAGAATTTCACAAATACTTAAGATGAATTAAGAAGTATATGTTTCAATAAATGCTTTTGACTAACAGCATCTGGTTTTTGTTGCTGGTTTTCGGTTTTATATTATGTACACTATCTTACTCAAAAAAGCATGAGATCGAGTTATTAAAACAGTAAGGATGGAGGGGTAATTAACCCTGCAGTACAATAAAATTGTTACTTAACCCAAACATTTGTCACTTGTTTAAAATACCACACTAATTGGTTGGATGATTCAGAGGAGAATCTGGATTCGAGGTTATTAATCTTCGCAATACTCATTTCGAACACTTGTTATGTCCACTGAGTAATTTTTGCCGAAAAATGTCAGGATACGCACTGAACTGGGAATTAATGAAATTGTTGATTGCAGTTGTTCATACAGCAGGTCGCATTATGAAGTGGAAAGATTTGGTGCCTCAGTGGGTCTTTTGTGTAATTCCAATACCAACGATTTAGTTGGCAGATAACTTCGAATATCAAAAGTAATATTTCTTTAAGTTTTATTTAATTAACAAAGTTCGATCGATTTCAGTTAACATAAATGAACTAATGGTATTAGTGTTCTGTGAAAGACAAAAATCTTTTTAATGACCATGCAGTTGAAAGGAAAAAGATGGATGCATAATTTTGGTCACAATTTGAAAGACAATACATGCGCTAATTGTATTATTCAATGCAGAGAAATAAAGGTAAAAGCTCGTTATTAGCTGGATATTACAAAAATACATACAAAAAAGCTGTAGATAAAGTCAAATGCATAATACTGTGAAAATATTCAGTGTTATCTGTAGAATATCTCAGGGATCCCTTGTTAGGACTTTGATTCACATGCCAGATCGTCTGTAGTAAGCAGGACTGCAAAAAATCAGGAGCAAAACTCTGTGCTTTTACTGAATGAAACACCGGGTCAACTGTCAAACACAGGATAAAACCCAGTAAAAAGGTGTAAAACATTATGATTGAAGTATCACAAAGAATTAGTTAGTTTTCAATGAATCTGTCTTGGTAGTATATAACTCTTGGGGAGGGCAATGTATATTTGAATTTACAGTAGGGAAATCCGTCTCAGCGGATTGTACAACATTCGTATTTCCATCGAAGAACTTGTGTACTGGAAGATCTGTAAAAATGCATGGCCGATTTTCATCAAAACTATCATCATTATCATATTCGTCGTACGAGAAACATCTACTAGATTGACAAGCATAGGCGCCAGATGATATCAGTTCAGCTTCTATTGCAAGCCGATGCTCACGTTCTTGTGTAAGCATTTCACGAACTCGACTCAGTTGGGATGTTAACATGTCTACCTGAAAGGGTTTAACAATATGTAGTATCAAAATAACGTTTTCACTATATGAAGAAAATGATGGGCTACTTTAAAACATAAGTCACGCAACAGAATACCATCACTAATTTATACTGAAGACTGATGTTTATTTAAAATATCCTACATATTTAAATGTGTGGTGGATCTCCCTAAGCTAATTTAGGGCTGTAGTTAGATAAAGCATACGTAAAAAGCAGTAAGCACTTGGGTGAATCATTGCTATTGGTGTTGAAAGCTACTACTGTATAGGCAGTTTGCAAGAAAGACCGGTAGGCACACAAAATTCGTCCCTTCACTACCCACGTTGATCTTTTGCTTTTCTTCCACTAGCAATAATACAAAAGCAGTTTCTTCATGTTTTCTTCGCTCCATTACCATCGTTTGCGATTTTAGACAGAGTAGTAGTATCGTTCCCAGTCACTGAAAACCACTGCCAACTTAAACCCATACATACCTTTGCAAAACGAGGTGTCAAAATACCTGTGGTGAGTGAAATAATCGAGGAGAAAGAGGGAATTATCCCAGCTTCTTAGGAGACAGCTTGGAAGGTATGCAGAAAATTTTGAGAAACCTAAATGGCTCACCTCCTAGTGCCCATAATATAGCAAGTTTGTGTTTTAATAAATTTATGTTGGGTGTAAAGACGTTTAAGGCTGATGAATTATTACTGACAAAATTAACTAAGGAAATTAGAAATAGTTCCAACTAACTACACACTGCCTAATTAACCAGCAAGTAAGGAGATCCAGTATGCAAATGAAAAGTTCGATGCCATTTGCTAGTTATATATATATATATATATATATATATATATATATATATATATCGAATCTTGTATTTCAAAGTAGAATGACACGAAAACTTACTAACTTTCGAAGCTCTTCAATACATGTGACCAATTCTTCACGGGTCTGAAATTCAGTTTTAGGTAGTTTAATAGCACTGCTAGTTTCTTTTTCACTTGATGCTTCATTTAAGGGCGGTGGTGCAGAATCTAATGATTTTCTGCTATTAGATGACTTAAGATTGTATATCGCTTTTAAAGTTCCACTCTGTTCACTGGATATTACTGCTGTCTTTTTTGATATGACTTCACTTAAACTTAATTTTAGGGCTGATAACTGCAAATCAATGACCACATAGTCATGGTCTTCTTCTTCAACCTCTTCTCGTGTTAGTTCCATGAAAGCTTGACAGAAAGGCAAGAGATTCAAAAATAAATAACTAGATTTACCAAGTCTGTTTAAAGTTATACTGGATGTGAGTTAACTAATTTAAAAAGAAAGTGATTTAATGCGTTCTATGGGTTTCAGCTAGTCCTTGTGTTTACCTCTTTAAACTTTTCTAAATAAGCTACTGCAAAATATTGAAACCACTGTATCACGGCAATGTCTGTTCAGTTATGTATGCGTAGTCGTCACACAATTCACGAGAACCAGAATATGTCAGACAATGAGGTTTTGGTTTATTTATTCATTCTTCGTTAATCTTTTCTCTGCATCCAAACTATAGGTTTTAGATATAAATAATGACTTTATAAGGTCAAATAAGCTGCCAATGTTTGCGTCTGGAGCAATAATACTGCATGTAGGGGTCATTTTTGATGTGTGACTTCTTAATTCTATTAACTTAAGATGTTATGTTCTTTTGTAAGAGAAATTATTTGTATACTACGAGCAAAATCGACAAGACGGAGCCAATAATCCGTGTAAATTCGACAGGTTTCACTCTTTTGAATTTTAACTGATTGAAAATACCCATAAAATTTTTCAGAAAGGTTAATGAACAAAGAATATTCTTTTTGATAATAATGCAAATTCACGAATATATATCCTAGCCATCAGGCATTTAGAAACTCAGTGAAATATTATCTAGCGGTAGAGAAGAGGTGCATGTGTAAATTATAGACCGAGCGCTTAAGATCAATATGCAAACTACTGGAAAATTGATTGATAGAGGAAGAAAATAGTATTGTAAATCAACAAAAACTGTCACAGGCTTACACACTGAGCTTTAAGTAAGTCGGAACCTGACTACACCATTTGGAAATATACACCTCATTTAAATATGTATATAAGTTTACTACTAATATTCACTGCTAAGAGACTAAACCAGACAGTCACTGAGACTATTGCAACTGTGATCAATACGAATTTTCATAAGGGAAAAAACGAAACAAGATTATAGTAAAAGCATACTGTTTCTTGAGCGTTGGACTATAATGATGTCAACAACACTAAGCGCCTCAAAAACGACTTCCAATGAATCAACAAAATTAACTATCAGGAATGGTATTCGTCATTAAAAGTTGAGAAAAAACGCAATGCATGGACTGTATAGCTACTGATGCATTCATTATGCTTATGTGAGAACCTATTATTACAATTATTAATGGTGGGCACTATTGAAAGTCCTGAAGAAAAATAAGCATTTTCACATAACAAAAAGGAATGTAGCAAAATGTTGCTCACCAATTGCCTTTTTATAGTAATGGATAGCTCCCTCAACATTTCCAATTTTTAAGCACTGCTTTGCTCGTCGCTCGTTAAAGTGGGCCTGGCAAATATTAAAGCAATATAAAAGTTCTTTTAGTGATTAGTGAAGTGATTTTCTACTAGGCGATGTTTATTACCGATTTAACATACCGCACTTAGGTTGCTCTGCATTTCGACAAGTAACTCCATACACATAATTAAACAGCGCGCTCCCTTTACGCGTATGGCCTTATAAGACTAAAACTAAGTCAGCAAATTGTGATTGGCTAATGGCTTGACCTTGAAGTTCACTCTCAGTTTCGATTGCCACTAAGGTGTCGGTGGAGTTATTCTCTTGTAATATGGTGAATTATAATGTGATATAGCTGTTTTCATGTGGTCCGCAACTATTATTTCTTAACGTTATTTCCAGGAATAGCCGAATTGCAGAATATAATGCGTTTTAAATCCTAAAAACCGTATTAAAACTAACGACTTACGTATTGTTTGTGCACTGAACTAAATCTACCAAAAGGGACTAATCGCAAGAGTTTTATTCGGAATTAACGTCTTCACCGTTGAGATTAAGTTAGGTTTGTCGTCTGGAGTGTGTAAATTGTTTTTCGTTATCTGCTACATGTTACTGCAGCCCTTATCTCTAATGGTGTACCAGAAGGCTGTTGTGGATAACTTTTTGTAACTATTGCAACAAGAACTTGTGAATCGGTTGAACAGCGAGCAAGCACTTTGATTAACGTAATGGCTAATGATATGGTTGGAGCTCAGTCTTTGGATGAATACCACGTATCATTTGATTCTTTTCATTCCGGCGAGACTCCCAAAACTGCAACTGACGCTACCAAGTTTTTTCCTATTGATGCAAATGACGTGCTTAACACTCCTACTGCCATATCAAAGACATCCAGTGCTGGAGGATTGTTTTTCGCTGACGACTTTCACAAACGTTTACCTGCTCTAAATCCTTCTGCAAATGAAGAACAATCTTTGGTGAATTCTAAAGTAGAACAACCGGATATGATTAGTAAGTAATATGCATGAGTCTTCTTGAAAGTTTTCTTTTTGTATGTCGTTCTTAAGGCAAATTCAAGCTTTTAGAGTATATTTACTGTTACTACTTGAGTTAATTGGTTAAAGTGATATGTGTGATTTAATGTTTCTTAAGATGGACAGTCAACCAAGTAGCCACAGTTTCATCTAGTCAGCTTAGCTGCAGGAATAATCATTATATGCCCTACTGGCACTTTGTAGCCGCAAATTAGAATGCTGAATGCAACCTAACAAAAATGTCTCCTGTGGTTCCAGAGGTTACTTGTATTCAGTCTCTGTAAACTTTCATATTCCTTTCTACCATTACCCATTCTGTTTCACTCTTATACTTGTCAAACTCTATTGATTCTCTTCACTCATCTTCTTGTCTACCTCTGTGTGCCATTTGGAACGTGGCAACTCGAACTGGTGCACTTCGGTGCCAAGTTCTATGTTGAATGCAGACAGACAGAGACAGAGGTTACTCGCAATTTTGGTTTGCGAAACACTCCGTATGTTGCGAGATCACTACTTACTTTTCTTTAACAGAAATTATGACACCTGGCGTTTGATGTAGTTTTTCCTGAAGAAGCTACATAATGTGCTTGGTAACGTTTCGAGTATGTCAATTACCAGTGTCTGTATTTGGGCACTGTAGGCTGGCTTATAATGAGAACTCTGGGGTTATGCAAGTCATGAATGCTGTTGGTAAATATTGACGCAGTGTAAAACAGCTTCTACCTCACTATCGGAAGCTCCAGCTTCTCAAGTCGTGGATGTCATTCTTGAGACCCGTTTGCCGTTATTCATTTAACTCCACCTGGTCAGCATAGTGCATCTGCGAAATTCACCTTACGGATGTTTGAAGATTCCCTGGCTGGTTCTTGTGGACATGTTATTGTAGAAATATCCTAGTTTTAGGGCTTGAAAATAATTCCTCGACTGAATCCCAGTGGGTTATTATTATCAAGAATAAACTTGTTGTAGTATGGCCACCAAGAGATTCACCACACAAAGTGGGGTCGTTTACGCAAGGGTTGTGGTACTGCCTGGACCAAGGCAGGTAGTCGTCTTAAGGTACCACTCCTCGAGCTTTTGACTTGAAGCCTGATATATAAGATAGTAGAGTGGCGTCAGGAGCTGCATTTTTATGTTCTCTAGTGACCAAAACATCTTTTAGGCTTTGTAGGGTTTATACACCATAGGTTTGGGATCAGGGTTTCGCAGCCCCCTAGGTATACCACCACCCCACCAATCTGGTTCTAAGTGCCAGACTTTCGCACTCATCCTTTCATTTATATGAGGAACCACCCCGCCGTGTTAAGGCAGTCAACTGAATTTGCCCGACATGGGCTACGGGCGTGTGATTTCATGAGAGCGTTTTTGGAGTGAGACTGACGTATCCTCATCATCGGCTATGCTCGGTTTTTTATGGAGCAAGTTGACAGTATGCGGTACAAATAAACGAATCCGCCACGCCCAGCTGCCCTTCTGATGAATTAAAGGATGAGTTCTATCAAAAACTGTCCGGCTTGTTTCTAAAAGCATAGCCCTTATATGTAGCCATTTTAGAAAGTAACTCCTATGTTCAAATAGGGGAGCTGTTACAGAAAAGTATATTACTGGCGCTTATGGAGTCCTATACTGATTGTCCAACAACAGTGATTGCCTTTTACAACTTAGTTCAGAGAAACATCTACGCTTTATTGGCAATAACTTTAGACCTAGCGAGTTCTGTCATCAAATAAACGCTGAAATCAAATAGATAGAGTAGCTGTAGGTTATCGATAAAGATTCCAATCGTTCATTATCGCGTGCACGTATATACTTACAACTGAATGGACTTACAAAACGGGTAGCTACAATGTCACTACGCTTTCAACTTGATGAAAACACAGTCTTTATTTAGGAAAGAAATATTTTAAAGTAAGTCTGGGATTGATGGCATGACATACAAAGGAAAGCTCGGATAGTAGGCTGATGATGAGCTGAAACCAAATGTTATTAAATGCAAATGCATTTCTGATGTTTCATCCGAAACGGTAAACGTGGAGACTGATTCCCGCAACCTCTAAACATGACCAGGGGTTATCGGTGACATCAGTCAACTGTTTCGACTCATTAGGCAAACTTTTTGTGAAAAACGATAATAAATGAATTGATTCTGGAAGTCAGCAGAGTGGAACGTTAGAGGCGACACTGAAGAACAATTCAACTGGTCTACAACCACGCAAAATTTACATAGCATGCTATAGCTACTTGGTTGGGATGTAGATATTAGTCCACCAACTGTATCTGAGGCTGCGAAAGCTGCTTATCACAACTTGCGGTTTTGGAGAAATCATTACAGTGATTGGCTAGAGTCCTAGTAAGTGGTCATCATGTATCTTCAGTTATGGCGCTTGATATTTAGAAATAAAAACGTTGCTTGTCGAAAACACCTATATGGTCATTTTAGTATTCTTTTGCTGTTATCAGTTTTCCATATACTTTTTTATTGTTTGTGTAGCACGTTATTTTGTGTTCTTGCTGCAAGAAGTTCATCTTTCAAATAAAAATGATGTGTTATATTCCCAGCTGATATGTGGGGTAGAAGATAAATGAGGCAGCTAAATAGTGATCAAAGGTGACTGCATACTATCTTAGTAATTACCTTTTTTGCTGCAATTAAGACTATATATCTTTTCATTGGGCTTAAGGATGTCCAAAAACTTAGTAAAAGGTGCATTCGTAATCAGTTTATCTCATTTTATTCGAAAATCCCTATATAGCCTGCATCAATCAAAGTTCCATGCATTCAGAGCTGTGTACAACATATAATAAACATAAGCATGAAAACATCGGAAACACTTGATGTTAGGAAGAAATGCAACTTTATCAGCTACCTGCTTACTCGGTTTTTATATTTCATATCATCGATGATCGTGTATAAATGGAAACGCCGATTAATACACATGAGGTTTTATATGTATCTGGATAGCTTCATGACGGAATCTCGCAAATTACTGAGTGTTTCTTCTTATGCTGCATCATTGAGTATGTGAAGGGATTTTCCACTGTTAGGATTAGTTTACCTTATGAAGAAGACATGGTATTTTATTATTACTAACGTCTTTTTTGTCTTGTCTTAAGTAGTATAAGCATGCTGATCACATCTTATTTGTGTAAATAGTATAAACATAAGTGGGACGTTTTTTTGTAATTTTAAACAACAGGTGATGCCGAGGAATCTTCAGTTAACCATTCGGACTCTGGAACCTTACCAGCAGAAAATATGTTTATATCTCAATTGGAGTTAAACCAGCAATCGTGCGTATCAAATCCTGAAGTGAAACCATCATGCAGGTCGTCTTTGCTGTACTTAAATCATCTTTCACCTGATAGCACTACAGCGAAGGTTGATCCTGTATCCACATCACTAGAGTCAGATTCTGGTATCAGCATTACATCATTCACGTCAGCGACTACGAAAAGCAATGATGAAAGTCTCGAACTGAGTGATTTACCGTTGTTAACAAGTGCACTATCGAGTGTTGGGAACTTGTCTCTGAACGATACTCGAGCAACTGTTACTAATTCCGCCTATGTATCAAACAGATCTGAAATCGCAACTACTAATCTTCAGACAGTGCCTGATACTGTTGTTCTCAACAGCGTTGGAATGACACAAAGTCCTTGTATGTCTGTTACAGAAGAGACCAGTCCAGTCACAGCGATAGCTTTTTCAGCTAGAAGCCAGCCTCCTTTTATCCCATCTCCACTTGTTTTAGGGAACGGCTTAACACTAACCACCTTACTGACTACTGAAAACAGTGGTGGCCTTTTAACACCTACCACTCCTAATACTGCTTTGTTGCCATTATTACCGTCTCCTGGCCCTGGAGGTTTATATGCCTCGGGACTCTTAACTAATTTATGTTCTCCACCAGCTAATCCTCCTGGAACTTTATCATTTCTGTCGCCTGCCTCTGGCCTGTTGAATAATAACATTGAAACGAGTGGTATTGCAGTTAGTGGAAATTATACACAAAATTCAGTTGCAGCAGATGGTACAATGATTAAACAAGAACAAACTTGTTTTACTGACTCAATTACAACTTCGGATCATCATCTGTTTAATTCACCTAATAAGTCTCTTATGAACAACCCACCTGATTGTGCACCGGATACAACAGTTGTCACAGAAGATGACTTGGGTAGCAGTGACTACCTATCCATCATTAAAAGTTCTGGTGTCTCTAGAAAACGCAAAACTTCTAATCGCAACAAAACTCGAATAGCTAAGGCACAAACCGGGGTTTGTTCAGAATTGGAAGCTCACCCAGGCATAACATCCAGCGTACCGGAAAGGATTTTAGAGAAACCTCATAGGTGTACATCATGCAATAAGTGTTTTTCTCGATCGGATGAGCTTACAAGACATGCAAGAATCCACACTGGTGCAAAACCTTTCAAGTGCATTGAGTGTCAGAGAGAGTTTTCACGTTCAGACCATTTAACTACACATATGCGAACGCATACTGGCGAGCGACCATTTGTCTGCGATATATGTGGTCGGAGTTTTGCACGTTCTGATGAACGCAAGCGTCATACAAAAGTGCATCAGAAGAACAATCAAAAACTTGCGAATGGAGATTCCAAAATTAATGTGACCAAAAGTTCAGTAAGTTCGACTTCAGGTCCTAAGACAAATAACAGTGGAAAGCGTGGTTCTTCACAATCAGTGAAGAATCACGATGCTGCTAAAAATCCACGTAAAGTGAAACAAGATGAACAAGTAGACGCTTCTTCTTTTCAATCTAATCGCCTGTCTATACAAAAAGTAAGCGTACTAAATGATGGGATAAATGTAAACCAATCTGTTCCTGAGCAGCGATTACTTCTAACAGCTTGCGATTCTAATTCAGGGCAAGTTACTTTTCATACCTTTCCTAATATGGCAGGTCTCAATGGCTCTAGTGTCATATCACCCCATTCACAATTAGTTTTCGCTGCTCTACCCTCAATGTCACTTTCAGCAGTTCCAATTTTGAGCCAGGTTAACAATGAATTTGCCAATACTTTCAATTTTGCCACCGGGACTTTCGCCGCACAACCCCATGGTCATTTTCTAACAGTTTCTCCTACACAACTCTCTGGTTGTGTGCCTAATTCTTCAGTGGAAAGCAATTTAACACTACCACAGAATCCAGCCGTTTCATCAGTATCACCGAACTTTACTCTTTTATCTACCATTCCGTCACACCCCCAGCCTGATATGGGCACGGAATGTGTACAGGGAACTGGCAGTGTTTTGTCATCCTCTTGTGTAACAACACCGAGTATGACGAGTTGTTACACAATTCGTGCTTCACTCATACCTCAATCGGTTCAAGCATATCATTCAGGACTGCAGCATTCCCAAGCATCGCCATATATTACTGCTATAGCTTGTTCTCCTGACGGTCTCAATGCTAACCAAGCTAGCGCATTTTTCTCTCCAATGATAGCAACGCATCCAAATGTCTCGGGTACCGAACTTTCTGCAAGCTTCCATCCTAATCAAGTAAATATGCAGCCAGAGTTTGTCACCACAGCTGATGGTATTTCTCCAACTAGTTTACTCGCAGCCACTCCAACCTGTATTTTTATTACCCCAAATCCTTAAGTTTATTTTTCTGCATTTGACAGTGCCTCATTCACGTCGGATTTCTGCTGTTACGTTATGTTACACTTATTACTGACAATAATATCTCTTTGCTGCTTTCGTCGTGTGCTCAATCTGTGATTTCAGTTCATGACACTTAAGTGTCTGTAAAGGGCTGTGTCACATCGTATATTTCTTTCTTTGTTGTATCCTGCATGCAAATGTACATTGTATTACCAGTTTCCGTTCTGTATCAGTGTGTCAGTTCAATCTGTGGTTCAAAGCAAAAAATAAAATTAAACTAATCCACCTACTAGTAGACATAACCTGTTCGATGGAATATGTTTCAAGAAACAAGTATTACTTTCTGGTAAGGAAATGTGCTTAAGTTACATCACAAATCCGTACGCACTTGTTTTTCTTCACAGCGAAATTTTCTGTACAGTCAGTTTCGTTTTAAGCGTATGCTTACCATTTTATTGTGTCGTAATTTACTGTAAATGCTGCGTTTTACTAATTTCCACTTCTTTCCTGATATTCAGTATTTATTCTATACAAAAACTACTTATTTTAATAATATTCATTATATTAGTATATATGAAAATTGGTTTCTATATGAACATGACTTTTTCTATGTTGTTCGTTACTTTCAATCAAAGCGCCGTTCTTTTGCTATATGATAATATAACATACATATTTCACTTTCTATGCATTGGTCTACTATCAGCGTTTTATTATTATTCACTTTGAGAATTTATCATGCTTTACAACCTTAATATATAATATTTCTTGCATCAGTCTTATGATGTACTGCTTTTATTATAATTCTATAATATTATACTTAGTAATCCACTGTTATTTTGTTTAGTTTTGTGACAAAACATATGATAACATGTTAAAGATATTCCCTTGTAAGTTGCTTTTTTTATCTCTTTTGAGCAGAAATCCTCAGATTACTAAAATCATACTGTATTCAAGGCTCTTCCCTTAAACTTGGGAAATAAATCGCTTTTACCTTTTCTGTTTCAATTCTATCATTTGTTTGACTGTGTAGGAATAATAATAATAGTATCTTATGAACGCAACATTAAACCGTAAAGCTCTTATTCTAAATTTTTAACTTTTAATCCCATGATATCGATTAAATCCCCTTTCGTTTTGCGCAAATTATTAAAGTACGTGAACTGATGCATTTCCACACTTTTCCTCTATGCGGGCAACGGAGTGGCTGTGTGGCGTATTTGAATTAAGAAACGGTATGTATAGATAAACTTATCTAGATATCAGCAATAGATTGTAGGGTATTTTCCTTACATAATTTGTGACACCAGTTCTTAATCAGTTTGTTGTAATTGCCTTCCCCTCTTTGATCCAAACTTCCTTCTGATTCTCGGATTATGATCTATAATGCGAAAGTATTCTTAAAGAGATGATATAAACAGTTTCATTCAGTTTATTTTCAAATTGCCAGAAAAGAGCAAAAACCATGTACAAACGGTTTATAGTTTATTAAATGCAATAAATACAGGAATTAATAGGGCTCTTCACTGATAGTTGGTGGGTAGGGAGATACCATGTTTTCTTCAACGGCTATTGACAAAGCAGTTCGAAATACATTCTCTGTTCTTGAAAATAGATGCTGGGAATAGAATTTGACCAAAAACTTTTGACAGCCTCTGACTGTTCCACTGACGTGATATATGTCGACTAATGCTGTCCTCCTTTGTCCACCTTTTAGAAGATAGGATGGATAAGTGAATTGCGCATTTGTAAAAATGAATTCCGAATGATATTAACGTATACGAAACATATGAAACTAAGTAATTCTTTCAAGGTAAACAGCAGGACATGCTACGTAATACAAGTGAGGGATAGAACCTAAGTTAATTTTGATAAATCACACAGTGTTGTACAGTAATATTAACTGATGACATTTCGAGCACAAACTATTGCTCATAATCATATCAAGTTACTCACACAACTTTACCCTTCATTAATTATACATGTGTGGAATCGATTAGATATTGTAATAAAGATCAATATGAGATAATGTACATTCACAACACTCGTATTATTATTTCTGAATGTACATTATCTCATATTGATCTTTATTACAATATCTAATCGATTCCACACATGTATAATTAATGAAGGGTAAAGTTGTGTGAGTAACTTGATATGATTATGAGCAATAGTTTGTGCTCGAAATGTCATCAGTTAATATTACTGTACAACACTGTGTGATTTATCAAAATAAAATCTTATCCATAATGGAGTTATGCTCTACCGCAGTGCCCAAGTTTTATACTTATATACTAAGTTAATTGTCTTGACACGCCTGAATGTTTTTATTATCCTCACTAGTGATATCGCAAACTAACCACTACGTATATTCTTGCAGAGTATTCGCATTAATTAGTAGATCTTAACACTTCAAATGGACGTTGATTTCACACTAGTTGAGATTTCAGCCCTCACTTCACTAAGCTGGATAATAAAGTGCGTTAATGGACAATAGCATGGCTCATATTCCATTGAATAGTTCGTCTCATCGAAATTTCGCGTCAATACTGTGTATTAATACAACATTGATGATTATCAAACGTTTCTCAAATATTATGCTTGCTATTCTTGAAGTTATTTCTCCCTACAAAAAATACTGTGAGAGAAACGTCAGCCTTGAAGATGAACCTGTGGCTACTTCTAGATGAAACTTTAGTGAACATGAACAATTACCAACACCAGTATCGTTTCATGTCAGTCTGTAGTTAATGGGTTGTGAAAGACGGTATACATAGAATTATAAGAGCAATTAATTAACTGCTGCCTTCATTAGTGATGATGCGAAATCGTTTAAATGTTGCCTCATCACTTATTCTTCATTATTAATCCGTGAAACACCTGTTCTAATTTGTATTGTTAACATGTTCATAGTGTCTTATAGCGACTGATAGAAAAGAAAGAAAATCTAGGTAGTAACGTGATTAAAATCAATAGAGTATCAAAAAAACATGTAAGGAATAATCTTCAATTATCAAGTTTCCTTAGGGTATCGAGTGTATTAAAACCTCAGACAGACTTTCACAGCTTACCAATATCCAAGCCAGTCACCAAAGATAGGGCGGTCTGAATGTAAGTTGATGCACTGCGAAGGCAACGAATAATTAACAAACCAGAAGCAGGGCACCAATGAATTACCCTCAAACGTGACATGCATTTGCCAATCCCAAGTGAACCATGAGCTAGAATTAGATTCTGTCTTATCACCGGTAAGAAATCCGATTCACTCAAGCGCATAACAACTGTGTCCTCCTTATGACAGCCCGGGTAACCTGGTACAAATGAACTGGAATTCTGAGGTTGGATGGAAACGAAGCAAACAATGTACCGGTTTTTCACGCGAACCATTGGACTGAAATCAAAGTAAAATGCAATTACTTCAGTGGGAAAACAGTTATCTAATTAAAATATGCATTTATTGATACTTCAGTTTGGTGGCCTAAATCCACGAACAACTAGTCCTTCTCCGAGTTGCAATGTAAGAAAGCATTAACGACTGTACTGTGATATGGTAAACAAATGTTGAGTGAGTGAACATTCGTTGTTTTCAGACGATGTCGACTTTCACATAGCGATTATATGTGTTAGGAGAATTGACACTGAGCCCTCAGACCAAATACGAAGGTGCGTTAAATTATTCACATCCTTAGAGAACTTATTTAGTGCAAGTATTTTTCACTTAGTTATTTATGCATAAGGTCTACTAACAAAACTAAAGTTTATTTCTTGAAACATAATTTTACTGTGAGTAAAGGAAGCTGGAACAAACAATAAATAGATTCATTTATGTACCAAAAACAAAGGTGTGTACATGATAAAGTCGTTCTGTCTGCAATTGTTTTACTTCACCTAGTGCTGTGAAATTGATTTAATGCATAATAACCAAATAGTTTACATTTTTTTCTCTGGTTAGTTTCACTTCTAGATACAGATATGTGATTAAGTGAAGATTAACTGCTTTAGTAGGAGCGATGCTTTGAAATGTTTGAACCTGAAAAACCAATAACATTAAGCGGAATATTTTGTATCATGTTCAATTTAGCAAGCCATATATGTAAAAACAATAATCTGATTAACAACATTATGTAGGCGGTGGTTGTCACCACTTAGCGAAGATTCCATAAAAAACGCACGCAAAGTACTCTGTAATGACTGTGAGGTTAGACTAGTAAGTTGGGGTCAGTAAGATTATCAGAATACAGGAATTCAGCTAAATCTAAAATCTTTGACTCCACAAAGTTAAGAAACCACGGTCATTGCTATGCATTCACCTGCGTGCAATCAACACCAAACACACGAAATCGGAATAGTGCAACATAAGTCCCTTACACGGAAAACCGGGAGGAGTGAGGCTATTTAAAGTAATAAATTCTGCTCAAATGCCATCCAGTTATTAATACAGTATTACTGTTACATCAAATAAACTTATCCAGTATGGAATCAAACAACAGATGATCACGAAAGCATAGTGAAAGCCACAAAACTTGAAGTTTGGAAAGGTAACGCCTTGAAACTCAGCACTTAGAGCTAACGGTTCTTTCTAGATAAATTAACAAAGCCTTGTCGTTTCAACTATCGGAACTTGAATCTATACTGAAGATTTAAGATCTAATTCCCTTGAGATAAATACTTAGTTAATTGGATCCTCTCCAGTAAGAATCAGGTAAATGTCAAAAAATATTTTGTTTTGTTATTGAAGATGATGTACTAATTTAAATTAATCTGCATAACAAGCGCTTTAGTCACAATAGCCTCCTAGAAAGAAGTTATATTGAGGAACGGTTGAAGGTATTAGCTTACGCCACTGTATAAAGAAATAACCTTTTGTTCCAGAGAAATAATGCTGAAGGGCGTCCGGTTTAGAATAAAGTTTCATACTAGACAGGCACTGAGTCTTTGATGTTTTATAATCCACAGCCACTTATCTTACACATGATCTTGTTTCGCAGTTTGCACTTCCCAACCTTCTCGTAAAGTGACTAAGTGGAGAATAATGAGAATTTAATGGGCCTAAGGGTACATAAAGAATGAATACATATATGCCATTGAAGACTTTTTTCAAATATGCCATCAACAGTCTCCAGGCATTGGTTCTTAGCGTTCCGGGGATTATCTGATGGTCGGAGGATATTGGCAAGAAGCCTTCGACCTAGGTCTCATGCTTGTTGGTACTCGTCAGCAAGGCTTATCTGTGATCTTGGACGGACTCATGTCCTTCCTGATATTCGAATTCGTGTCATCCAGTGATGCAGTCAGAGACGCTAGCACTGAGCTATTCGGGGTCGCGCTTGACCTCCTATAGGAGTGTACTGGATACTTTGGCTGGACACTATCCAACTATTTGATAACAACAATTCAGAATGCATCACGATGGCGAGCCACCTAGCATGGTGGCCACATTGCAAAGCTGACTGACAGAATTTAGTTTTGTACCAAACAAAGGACTAGACACATGATACTAGTTACGAAGTAGTGTTCAGTCAAAGTCCCAGGGATTCCAGAAAGACAGACTACACCTACCTATATGACTCAAAGCAACAGTCAAAGACTTCATGGATTGATTGAACCACTCATAACTCCTATGCTGGCTTTCTAACAATTACAGCAAGTTGGTACACATATAAAATGCAACTCCGCGCTAATATCCTTCAAATTGTATACACAAAACTCGCATACAAAAGAATTATCCTCTCCTCAAACACATTGTTGTCAAGTCAATAGTCGTCTTCCAACTAATATAGTGAATAAAATTCAAGATATTATGAATCTTCTTTCTTCTCAAAGAGTTAAGTGATCCTCAGGAGTGTTCGAGACTATGAGAAATTTTGAGGTGGATATTATTAAATCATCGTTTCATTAAAAACTAAGTACTCTGTATATTTAAGTGAGACATTTTTAAATTTAAGGCTTATTTTACTAGTCATATTTTATGTATAAAAGTAGTATCCTAAAAATAGTATACCAAGGACTACTTATTATTACATGAACATCTACCTCTAAGTGTTTTTAATCTCTGTGTGCATTGGATCCCATCAGCTGCATGTGGAGATTAAATAATGCGAATTTACATTGAACTTCTGAAATCAAAACTATTTTGTCTTAACATTTGTGATGAAAGAAATAATCACAGAATCATTCTCCCACAATAGATGTAGATTCGACGGACCTGAGAATAGACTTATTCAATTTGACACAAGACACCCACTGCATATGTATAATTATACGGCAGTTGTTGAAGAACACTGAAAGTGTCCCTGTCTATAAAAGTAATTACAGATTATTATCTCATAATCTGAGACACCGGCACATGTCAAGTTATCCACAACGGAAATCTCAGCGAGGCGTTTGGAGTAAACACAGGAGTCAGATAAGGGTGCTTATTATCACCAATGATATTCCTAATTATGGTGGACTGGGTTATCCGTCAGACAGTGGGAAACGAGAAGACAAGGATATCCTGGACCGATGCTAAGAACCTAGAAGACCTGGATTTCGCGGATGACTTATGTTTGATGTCACACACAATCGAAGACCTACAAGCGAAAACCGACAAACTGGTCGAAGAAGCAGCCGGCGAAGACAGGACTCCAGGTGAACATAGACAAGACGGAGGTTATGAAACTAACCAACCAACCAACAACAGCTGAAACATCCAGTGCCAATCACCATCAACGGGAGGGATTTGAAAGAGGTTACTTCATTCACTCACTTATCTAGGGGGCATTGTCCCAACTACAGGCAGCGGGAACGGACGAGGATGTCAAATTGAGCGGGAATCGGGAAGGCGAGAAACACATTCATCAATCTGAAACCATTCGGGAAATCTTTGTCACTCAGCAGCATCAACAACAAAATTCGGATTTTCAATACAAGCGTCAAGTCAGTTCTTCTATACGGATCAGAAACTTGGCCGGCGGGTCACAAAGAATATTTCCAACAGCCTGTTGCAGACCTTCATCAACAACTAACTGTCTTCGCTCTATACTGTAGATCAGATGGCCGAAAAGAATCACCAACAAGAAACTATGGGAAGAAACAAAACAAGAACTAATCGCCCAACAAATATGCAGGAGTAAGTGGAGATGGATTGGACACTCGCTGAGAAGGTCGCTGGGTGACATCGCGCGTCAGGCCATTGTTCGAGTGGAGCCCGAAAGGGAAGCGGTGAGTGGGATTTCGGTGCAAGGGTAACATGGAGGAGATCGTGTGAAGAGGAGTTGAAACAGTATGGACTAACATGGATGCAGGTGAAAAGTACAGCGGAAGCAGACAGAAGCAAGTGGAGACGTGCAGTTGAAGCCCTATGTTCCACTAGGAACCCAAGGAAACAATAATATAATAATAATCTGAGACAGAGTATTTTCTTAAAGGAAATACAGAGAAAGTGAACCGAAATAAAGATAATAATACACACTTGAAAAGTTGATTACACCTAGGCCTGTTTATTAACTCGATAAAATTACAGTCCTGATATAATTGAAAAATCATCCGTACGTCATATCACAAATAAGTTATACATTTTTCTTCACACACAAAAAGAAATAATCACAAAATCATAATAACGTATATTTTAACTTTCAGGTACACACAACAACATCATCATAAGAAAATCTGTTGATTCTACACACACACACACATCTACACTTTTTTGCTCAAAGCAAATTATGTTATACACTTTTGAATAAGTATGAAAATAAGCAAACAAAGCATCGAGAAAAAGACAAGGCTGAAGTAAACTTTTTAATTTAATTGAATTCCACGTAATGGTCAAGCAAAACTGCAACCCACTTGTATATACTCTCTCAATTAATTAAATTAAACAACACATACCTTTACACACAGCACACTCACCCAAATCACTCAAAGTGTAATCTTAAATATTGAAAATCAATTAAAAAACTGACAATAATAATGTTAATATTACGTAAAATTAACTTTTTTTTAAAAAAAAAGGATTCAAAAATCCAATTATGTCTAGTAATGAAAAGAAGCATCAAATACAAATAAAAAACAAGAAATAATTAGAATAATCTATCACATTTATAGCAGTTATTATGCGATCAATAGCCAACCAATAAAAAATATTGCAACGAAAAGACACAATTTTGACATTGTTTCTGAATCAGCACCCCAAAGGTTATCAAGATTGTTAACACCATTTCCATTGTTTGAGTTTCCGGAGGTATTAGTCCACCTAGATTAAAGGTTGTCGCCAAGAAACCGAAAGGAAATGCACCAATACCAACTGACATTCGAAAATTACCTCCATCAGGACCTCCAAACAATCCGCCAAATGTTCCTCCCAAACCCCCCATACCTGGTTCAGGTTCACTACGTTGACCAGGTGGACGTGGTGGGATTTTTGTACGAGGGTCTTGTGTATGATCGGCACCGCGACCGTAGAGAGGAATAACCTGGCAAGAGTGGAATAAAAATATAACTAGAAAAACAAATGCAAGGTATGCTTGGAGAATTTACGTTGTATAAACGTTATGTAGATGATACTCTTATTATTGGTAATAATAGTAAATCTATTGAAAACTTTATTACCCTATTTAATCAGATTCATCCAAATATTCGAGGGACTTCCGAGCTAGAATCGAATAACAAACTCGGTTTCTTGGATATTACTATGATTAGGAGAAATGATGGAACGATTCACAGGTTTATTTTCCGTAAACAGACGTGGAATGGACAATATCTTCATTTTACCAGTTTTGTTCCTATCCAGTATAAACGTTCCCTAGTGAAATGTTTGTTCTCAAGGGCCCGAAAAATATGCACGAGTGACACATTGATGGATGAGTTTCGGCACATACATTCAGTTTTATTAGCTAATGGTTATCCCGAAAACTTCATCAATTTTCACGGTAAGGATAGACCACATCTTGAAAAGACAGCTTCTGCACCAAAGAAAGCTATCTTCATTAACCTACCATTCAAGGGCGACCAGATTATGCAGTTGACAGCTCAAACGCATATTCTACGGCCCATCTCTTTCCCTCACATACCGAACATTTTCGATCCCTGTACCTACGATTAAAGGACGAAATTCTATGGACTCTACTTCAAACTGTATCTACAAGTTCACCTGCAGCTGCGGTGACACCTATATAGGTAGAACCAACAGAATGTTTCAATGTCGTCGAAAAGAACATGTTCCAAAATGGCTACTAAATCATATCGCGAATCCTAACTCGGTTAATCTGAATAGAAATCCAGCATCATCCATTGCAAAACACTTATTAATGTCAGGTCACCAAATCAGTATCAATGACTGCTTCACAATTATTTCACCACATAACTCTAATTCAAGGTTGGTTATTGAAGGTGATGGAAGCACTTTGGATTAATCACATACAGCCTAGACTGTGTGTACAAAAATCAATAGACTTCAATCTTCGCCTACCATGGACTACATGACCTATCTAAATATGATTGGTCATTAGCATGTATTTTTATTTTTATTTAACTGAGTAATTTTCATGAACTTTATTTTATCATTGTTAACCATGTTAGTTGTAAAGCGGTTGTAAAGAAACTACGAAATGACGATATCATTTCGCGAAACTTGTCTTCTTAATGCCTTATTTAAATATGGAATAGGATCTAAGAAACAAATACCAAGTGATTCAACAAACATATCCGTGAATATTTTGTTTTGTTCATTTCATCTTTCCCACACAACTAGAGAGACTTTAACTAAATGAATATATTTTCTAATAAAATTTGATTTTAGTGGTAAAGATAAGCTGATTATTTATTTTGTTATTTCCTAACTCAATAATAAAAACAAAAAGTTCACCAACTTTGAAAATGAAAACAAAAAAAATCGATATCTACAACACAGAGTACTATTCGTTCTCAATTAGGATATTCACTTCCATCCCATACAGACTGGATAACTGAAAATGTAGCTGGAATTAATTAAGCAGTCTATATGGAACTTCAGGTGAACATAGAGAAAACAGAGGTGATGAAGATTCCTGGCCAACAGCAACAACAACAGACAACAATCAGCATAAATGGGAGGAACCTGAAAGAAGCAGCCCCCTTTACCTACCGACATGGGAAGCATCGTTTCAACTACAGGCCAACGGAACTGACGAGGATATCAAAGCCAGAATTGGAAAAGCAAGACAAGCTTTCACTACTCTTAAGTCTGTGTGGAAGTCAACAGCACTCAGCATCAAAAATAAGATCCGGATTTTCAACTCCAATGTGAAGTCAGTGGTACTTGCTATACGGATCAGAGACTTGGCCAGCGCGTCATAAAGAGCATCTGAAACAAACTTCAGACCTTCATTAACAGTTGTCTTCGCACAATACCACTCAAGATCAGATGGTCGGCCACGCTGAAAATTCCATACTTGTACCAAAAATACAGTGTGTAATCAAGCTATAATCAAAAATAAAATGAAAATATTAATGGCTTAGAGAGGTAAAGGAGTGGCGTCGGCCAGGGATCGAACCGCAGACAACATGCGTGGTCGAAGGGCATTCTACCGCTGTGCCACCGATTAGTGTGATTAATTTGTGCAACAATCTCTTGGAACCAACCACTTTAATTAAAGCTTCAGTTTTACTAACAAATGTCTTAAATGCTTTATACCATGGCATAATAAGTGACATACTATTTAACAAAACTCATGCTAAATGGTAATAACTGTCTGTCTGTCTGTTTTCGACATAGAACTTTGCCCAAATGTGCGGAAGTTCAAGTCGCCACACTCCGTGTAGCACGCGAAGCAAGAGAAGAAGGTACAAGAAAAGCATAATAGAAACAGTGGGCAGAGGTGTGAGACAAAGGAATAGTAATAACGAAGAACAAAACAGTTTCATTGGAAATCATAAGTCACAAGGAGTGGATGCATCTGCGCCACTGAGAACGGTTTTGAGCCATATCACCAATTGTTTCCGACCATTGATTTTTACCGTCCCGAGGACCCCAGCCTGGAAGTCTACACCTTCCTACGTGGCTTAGACCAACTGTTGTGGATTTCATTGACTGGTGCAGCCAAGTTTTTGTTTGACCGCCACTAGCTTTTTTCCAGTCTGACCCTATATCCGCTAACATTGCTCGTCGAGGGAGGCGATGGCTTGGTATACGTAACACATGTCCTAACCATCTCAGTCTTTGTAACTTCACGACTTCGTCGATTGATTTCCCCTGTTTACCTAGAACTCTACGCCTAACTTCAATGTTGCTCACCTTATTATGCCACTTTACACGGGAAATAGAACGCAGGCACCTATGATCAAAGACAGCTAGCTGGCGTTTTCATATCTTCCACTCTCAGTGGCCAGGTCTCACAACCATAAAGGAGGACGGAGCGGACTGATGAGCAGTACACCCGCCCTTTGGTCGGTAGTCGAACATCTCGTCTACGCCAGAGTCGACGTAAACTGGCAAATGAGAAACGAGCCCCCTGCATTCGTGCTGAGATTCCGTCAGAGATCAACCCGTTGGCACTGGCTCATGGTACTTCCCAAATAAGTGAAGCGGTCAACGTGCTCTACCACTTCACTTCCTATTTTTAAACTAGGCGTCGATGTGGTCCAGTCCTGTAACATCATCTTGCATTTGGCGGGAGCGAATCGCATGCCAAACATTCGTAGATTGCGGCTCAAGGTGTTTAGAAGACTCTGCATTTCGTCAGCGTCCTCGCCTAGAAGGACTATATCGTCTGCATATTCCAAGTCAACGAGATTATTCCCTGGTAGCAAGTCAATCCCTGAGTCACTGAAGTCACTTAGGGTTAAGTCCATTAACACATCTATGATGAAGTTGAATAGAAAAGGGGATAATGGGCATCCTTGACGGACATCAGTAGTCGTCACCAGTTCAGATGACAGCTCGCCGTAAGCCCTCACCTGGCTGTATGAGTACGAGTAGAGTGCCTTAAGATATTTTCTCGAATTCCCTTTACAGCCAAGCATCTCCAGAGAACTTCTCGATCGACAGAGTCGAATGCTGCCTTTAGGTCAAGAAATATAATGACATGTTGTCATGTCAATGGTAATAACACTCGATAAAGACGTAAGGACAGTATTTTAGTGAAAGATAGAAGACCATCAATGTGAAATTCGGATGAGGGGTACTCCACAGGCAACATTTTGCAGAATAATACTAACTGCTAACGGGAAAAAAACAATCCAAGGTTTTTAAAATACTATTAATAAACGCTAACAACTGCTTTAGTTTTAACTTTTATGTAGTCTCATGCCATATGCAAATCGAATATTTTCAGATTCGAATTCCTTGGTACTTGACACAGAAAACGGATTATTCCGGTTGCAAAATCAGTCTAACATAAACAACAGAGGAACTAGATAGAAAACAAAGTAAAAGATAGCATAATTTGCATGTCTAGTCGTAAAACTTGTAACCGAATTATCTATGCATTCTAGGAAGCATTTTAAGTGATTACAAATGACATATGAATAATGCAAAACAGTAACACTAACTTTATCTCTGCTGATTGCCGCCTTACACACTGGACATACTGTTCGAGTTTCCGCTGTCTCAAGCCATCGATGAAGACATGGCCAACAAAAAAGATGACCGCACATACTCACAACTGCATCTCGAGCTGAATCAAGACATATATTACATTCAAATGATCCTGTTGTCCCATTGTTATCAGAGGTTTTCTCATTTGAGTTGGACTCACTTTTATCACACTTGCTGCTCGATGGTTTAGAAGTTTTAGGTATGTCTGATTTCGAGGTAGACGCTGTTGCAGACGTTTGCATATTTCTTCTTTACACGTGTACTATGAAATTGTGTGCCCTAAGAGCATTCTAAAAAAATAGAAAAAGAACAAATTATAAAAGCTTAGTCGTTGTTGTGAACACGTTTCACACAACACAACTGTCAGGAAAAACAGGTACATACCATTGAGGTCGTGTTTTACTCTAGTTAACACATTCAACGATTCGAGACTACAATGACTGGCTAGTGTGAAAACCTGATGCCCAAACTCATTGACTAAAGAAAATCAGGCAGTATTTGAGGCGGAAAACAGTCGTTGAAAGTGGCGTCCTTCGGCTTAGATGTACGTTTTCGAAGTGATGTTCATATTATGCATGTGGGCCTCACGAAAGGGTTAAAACTTACAATTTGAGCATACGAGTATATACACACACAATAACGCTAATTTTATAAATGTCATTTTACCACAAGCATGATTTTACGTTCTTGGATTCATAAAACTGTGAGCCTATCGAACTCCAAAATAATACTGTGTGATGCAAAACTACTAACTAATTTTAGAATAACACTGCAGATAGAAACATCGCACAGAACTTGTTGAAACTTATTGCTCAAGCTTGCTCTTCTGAAATAGTTGCCGATTGCGAAATTAACAGACATCAATAATTTGGGGTTAGGACCACTAAGTTCCCTTAAGCAACACACGTTGAAGAAAATGGAAGCCTTGTTATTTGAATGCCAAACATTAATCAGTGTTATCAGAAAATATGCATTCAAAAGTTAGATAGTACTTGGACAACGGTCTATATTATTTTAAATACTTTAGCATTACCTGCTGCCGAGATAAGCTTAGTGTCATACTCACTGTCACAATTCAGCGATACATCCAGTCTTTTTAATCAGTGTATTCATAAAATATTTCTTAAGTTATTAGTACAACTTCCTTTATCACAGTGTTATACGAACTGCAAGATTAGAATCTACCAGAATATTCTATCTTCAGGTGAGTGGGTGGCACAGCGGTTAGGACTCTCGCCGACCATGCATATGGTTCGGGGTTCGATCCCCGGCCGACGCACACCTGGTATCAATGGTTGGTCTGCAAAATTTGGGCTACCGATATCACATGCTGAAAATTCCACACTTGTACCAAAAATACTGTGTGTAATAAAAAAATATCTAGAATTATGAACTAAAGACATATAACAATGGCATGTAAGGAAAACCAAGCTACCGCCTGCTATACCGAATATAATGATAGCCAATTAAGTTTTCGCTCCACTTTCGATGAACGGTTATTTTAAGATACTGGCAAAAATCTACTCTAAAAAGAAATGAAAATACGCTCCACAGTAGTAGATGTTATCGAAAAGACAAGCGAATACCAATAACCATAATTATGCTGACAAGTGAAGTGCAAATAGTACAGGAAATTTTGTAACGCAGGAGAGCACTGAGTTAGAATTCCAGATAATTGCTCAAGAATATGAAAACTATAACAGTTCGGTCTTCAAAGTAAAATTGTAAAATAAGCATTTATTAAGTGACTCGATTCATTGAATTGCTTTGATCCTCTCGATTTAGTTCAACGATCAAATAATGCTTTAAGATGATGTGATACGATCATGTGAAAATTATTTGTACTGCTTGTTAGCCTAGACACAAGTCTTCGAATTCCAACGTGAAACCTTACTTACTAACTAACGAGTTAACCATGGATTTAGAATGATTAATTATTTATTTATTTTTGATTACAGCTTGATTCCACACTGTATTTTTGCCACAAGTATGGAATTTTCAGCGTGTATATCGGTAGCCCGAATTTCGCAGGCCGACCATAGATATCAGGTGTGCGTCGGCAGGGGATCGAACCTCGGACTATGTGTATGGTCGGCGAGAGTCCTCACCACTGTGCCACCGACGCACCATACCTAAAACCTACCTCTGATAAACGAACAACAAAACTAGTGGTAATTAACATTAAACAAACACCATAAGTGCCAACAAACAACTGGCAAAGACGGTATTTTGCAAAAAATCTCAACAAAAATAACAGGAAAAGAGAGAAAAGAATTTTACTTCGTAGATAAATATATTTTACTTTCATTCGCTAGCATAATATTGACAGATCTAAAACATTAAGATTAGTAATCACATGTTTTAACATACAGAAAGGATCCATGACATACAAATGCAAACTTGAATAAAAAGTACTAAAGTAGGCGAATAAATTTAGAATTTAATCAAGACGAATCTTGAACATGTTCAAACCCTATTTCTTGGTTCAGCGATTCATAAATGGCCAATTCAGATGCGATGCTTTGAAGACAACATGCTTTTACACGAAAACCAGCAGTGATGCGAGTAAAACTTTTTTCATATGTAGTACTGATTTCTTCAAACGCAGAGACTGATGGCTTCAGAACAGGGTACTAAAGGGGTGTAAACAGAATATAACAGAAACCATTAATTAAACCGGCTTTGGAAATAAACACCTCTTCACCATCATAAATATCAAACTGATTCACTAACACAGATCTAGTATTTCTACAATAACCATCTGATCCTCTAGCTACACATTTTTCTGTAAATATATTACTTAGTAACACCAATTCAAGCTTTAACCAATGACAACAGAGATAATAATCCGAAATTGTCTAGACAGCGTTGCATCTGTGAATTCTATTTCTTAACCATATCACTCAGGTAAATTATGAAAAAGCCCTATAATTGAAAAATACAAATTTGTGACTATCTTGACTGAAACTGCAGTTTGTTGACATATATTGTTGAAACACAACTAATGAGTCAAAGAAATCCAGCATGGCCACCATCTGTCAAAACTTGGACAGCCAATTGACACTATTAATTCTCTTTTAACGTGTGGCTCATTATTAAATGTGCGAGAATAGGCATGTGATTATACGATAACATGCAATCTAGATTTTCTGCATAATCAATATAACTCAACAGTCATCGTTTCATCAACCAGATACTAATAAACAAGTGTAATATGAGTTTTTAAATGATTAGCGAAATCTTTAATCTATGCAAGCAGAGTTTGAGTTCGTCTTCGTGATAACAACTGTCAACATAGAAAGTCTATACGCCACTTCCAATAGTTACAGTCAATACAAACTTTCTGAAAAGTTGACAAAAACTGATGGGGCTGATCAGTCATGTACATATTTTACAATACTACGTTCCACTGTTTTATAAACAGACCTTCCGTGTATACATAAAGACCAACATGTCATGCAATTTTCGAAACTACATTGTCTAAACTAGCTAAATGTATTTATTTACGTTTATTCACCTATGTGAGGTAAAAAGAACAGCAACTAGATAAAAGGTATGCAATCACCAGAAACAATGAAAAACCAAAGGTCTAATTCACGGACTAATTTGAAACAAACAACGAAAGTTAGTAAAGCAGGATTTAACGAATTCATCAAATTTCAGTAGAACGCCTCTCTGGATACTCTACATACAGGGATATATATATATATAGTGAGAGCTGGCTGCTAGCCAAATCAGTAGATGGTAATTTACGTCAGTGTTTACGTCCCCAATATTGGTCGTGAGAAAAGTATGAACAAAGACTGATTTAACAACCGACCACAGTAGACTTTGCGTAGGCGGATACAGTTAGCATATAGACGATCTGGTATTCAAGAAACAGCCACAAAGAGATGAAAGATTAACTTCCAGTGAGAAACAACCAATCAGAAGACTGTTTTTTTGCTAACAATAATCTATAATAATGTACATGTAAATAAGTGTTGATTTCCTTAATAAACGATCTGTTGCCCGACCCTTGTCTTCTGGTGTTATATATATATATATATATATATATATATATATATATATATATATATAACCGTTAGAATTACATTAGGACATATAAAACTGATAAAATATCAAAAATTTAGAACTGAATAATATAGATAATGATAGTTCATTAATAAATACCCCAAGAAATGAACCCCAGTAAAACTATCCAAACAGTTCCGAAGAAATCGGTATATATCAATTTACCATTCAAATGGGATGAAGAGCAAGAAGTGGTCAAACGAAGACTTGATAAAGCTACTACGAGAACTTATTATGCTGCCAAACTCATCTTCCTTAACACCAGCAAGAGGGTGCTTCAACAACTCTGCGAAATACCAGTCACCAATCTTCGACACTTCAAACTGTCTATAATAACTTGAGTGTTTGTTGAAGCAAATATATAGGGATTACAGAAAGGCGAGTGTCTACTCGCATGATGGAGCATTTGCCAAGGTGATTGAAAACAGCTGAAGTGAAAGTGGCTAAAAGTTCAATAACAAAGCAGCTTATGGACTACAGACATTACATTGACGCTGTCAAGTTATTCAATGTTGTCAGCAGGAAAACAAACAGGAAGATGCTGACAATTACGGAGGTTTGTCTGATTAAAGTTTATAAACCAGGTCTCTGTGTACAAAAGAGCATGGTCGTGTCTCTGAATCTACCATGGTAATATATTTAATTTACTAATTGTTATTACCAATATTGTTAATATTTTATTCTACCTCTTATTATTACTATTTCTGATCCACTTATAACTATCTTTTAGCATTACCATTATCTTGACATAATCACTACCATTGTTACCATTATTATCAATATTATTTAGTTCTAAATTCTTGATATCTTATCAGTTTTATATAGCCCAATGTAATTCCAACGGTATATATATCCCTGTATGTAGCGTATCCAGATGATGGGTCCTACTGAAACTTGAGGAATTTATTAAGTTTTTACGAGTTGATCACGGATTGATATCAATTAGAAAACCATTGAAAACCAGGGAGTACTGGACAGATGCTGTTTCATCCTAATCTGGGAATCATCGACAGTACGCACCCACCGCCAGGGTTCGAACCCAGGACCTTCCGGTTACAAGGCCAGCGAGCTCGTATACCATTCAACCACCGGGACCCGAACTCGTGAATTCTAACTTCTACCAATTCGTAATTTGGCGAGACCCCAACCATTGTCTGTCTGTCTGTTTTCGACATAGAACTTTGCACAAATGTGCGGAAGTTCAAGTCGCCACATTCCGTGTAGCACGCGAAGCAAGAGAAGAAAGTACAAGAAAAGCATAATAGAAACAGTGAGCAGAGGTGTGAGACAAAGGAGTAATAAAGAAATACAAAACAGTTTCATTGAAGATCATAAGTCACAGGGAGTGGATGCATCTGCGCCACTGAGAACGATTTTGAGCCATGTCACCAATTGTTTCCAACCATAGATTTTTACCGTCCCGAGGACCCCAGCCTGGAAGTCTACACCTTCCTACGTGGCTTAGACCAACTGTTGTGGATTTCATTGACTGATGCCAAGTTTTTGTTTGACCGCCGCTAGCTTTTTTCCAGCCTGACCCTATATCCGCTAACATTGCTCGTCGAGGGAGGCGATGGCTTGGCATACGTAACACATGTCCTAACCATCTCAGTCTTTGTAGCTTCACGACTTCGTCGATTGATTTCCCCTGTTTACCTAGAACTCTACGCCTAACCTCCATGTTGCTCACCTTATTATGCCACTTTACACGGGAAATAGAACGCAGGCACCTATGATCAAAGACAGCTAGTCTTTTCATGTCTTCCACTCTCAGTGGCCAGGTCTCACAACCATAAAGGAGGACGGAGCGGACTGATGAGCAGTACACCCGCCCTTTGGTCGATAGTCGAACATCTCGTCTACGCCAGAGTCGGCGTAAACTAACAAATGCGAAACGAGCCCCTTGTATTCGTGCTGAGATTTCGTCAGAGATCAGCCCGTTGGGGCTGATGGTACTTCCCAAATAAGTGAAGCGGTCAACGTGCTCTACCACTTCACTTCCTATTTTTAAACTAGGCGTCGATGTAGTCCAGTCCTGTAACATCATCTTGCATTTGGCGGGAGCGAATCGCATGCCAAACATTCGTAGATTGCTGCTCAAGGTGTTTAGAAGACTCTGCATTTCGTCAGCGTCTTCGCCTAGAAGGACTATATCGTCTGCATATTCCAAGTCAACGAGATTATTCCCGGTAGCAAGTCAATCCCTGAGTCGCTGAAGTCACCTAGGGTTAAGTCCATTAACACATCTATGATGAAGTTGAATAGAAAAGGAGATAATGGGCATCCTTGACGGACACCACTGGTCGTCATCAGTTCAGATGACAGCTCGCCGTAAGCCCTCACCTGGCTGTATGAGTACGAGTAGAGTGCCTTAATCAGTGCAATATATTTTCTCGGAATTCCCTTTACAGCCAAGCATCTCCAGAGAACTTCCCGATCGACAGAGTCGAATGCTGCCTTTAGGTCAAGAAATATAATGACTGTTGGACGCCGGTAGGAATGCCTATGTTCTAGAATCTGTCGGAGGGTGAAGATATGATCAATACACCCTCTTCCTGGTCTAAAGCCTGCCTGGCTCTCTCGTGTTTGTGCTTCCCGAGCACCACTCAGTCTACGCATGATTATTGAGCCTAAGACTTTAGATACTATATTAGTCAAGCTAATCCCTCTGTGATTATCACAGGAAGACTTGTCTCCCTTCTTGTATATGGGGATAATCAGTGACTTACACCAACCCGATGGGACTTCTTCTGATTCCCAGACGCTGCCTAGTACCTCAGTTAATCCGGACAGTAAGCTGTCTCCACCGTACTTAAATACCTCTGGAGTCATTCCATCAGGTCCCGCTGCTTTGCCTAGTTTCAGATTGGTGACAGCTTTAGTAACCTCAGTTAGTGACGGAGGACCTGTATCTATATCCCATTCAGGGAGGTGTTGGATGCTCGGAAGGTTGAGCGTGGCTGTGGGCAAATTAAACTGCTCCTCATAATGCTCTTTCCAACGATCCAGTCGTCTATCCTGTGAGCTAATTATAGTGCCATTTTTTTCCGAGATTGTCTCACTAATGATTTGTCTTCTCCCACCCGTTTCCCTGATGAGTCCAAAGAGTTGCCTGGTGTTGCCTATCCTCGAAGCTTTCTCCATCTCTTTGGCTTTTGTCGCCCACCACTGTTCACGGTCCTTGCGGAGACTTTTCGTAAGTTTCCTCTTGTGCAGCTTTCGCTCCTCATTGAATTCGGAGCTCGCCGGAATAAGTCTTCTAGCATCTATCAGTTCGGATGAGGCGGTGGAGATCCAGTGGTTTTTACTCACCTTTGGGTTTACCTTATTCACAGCTTTTACAGCTGTATCTATGGCTGCCTGGATATTTTTCCAAGCTTCTTCAGGGTGAGCACAGCTGTCGAACACAGATATGTGTTTAGCTAGTTCTTCCTCAAATACGGATTTAGTTTCCTGATCGAGCTGGGGACGTGATGGTTTTACCGCCAGCTGTTTCCTACGTCCGTTCAGTCGTAAGCACACCCGAGCGCGGACCAGTGCATGGTCGGTATCTACGCACGTGTTCCAGAAGGAGCGACAATCTCCTACCGACCCACGCCAACGATAGCTTATTGCTATGTGGTCTATTTGTGTCCAGCGTTGGTTTGATGAAGGGGGTCTCCAAGTCAAACAGTGTCTCTCCTTGTGTTTAAAGTTAGTGCTTACAAGAAACAAATGATTATCAGAGCAGAACTGTAGGAGACGGTCACCGTTGTCGGTTCGCTGGCACGGACTCCATAGGTGCCACCGACATCCTTCTCAGATTGACACAATTTCCCTACTTGAGCGTTAAAGTCACCAGCTAGAACGACTATGTCTGAGCGTTTAGCCTTTCCACCAAACTAGACAGCTTTTGGTAGAACTCATCCTTCGTTTCATCTGAACTGCAGTCAGTGGGGGCGTAGGCGGAGATTACGAAAAGGCATCGGCGAGTAGTGCAGTCCTTCCTCCTTCTTACTGATCCGTTCAGGCGGACAGCACACATTCGGCTATCTACCGGGATCCAGTCAAGCAATGTCTTTTCTGCCCTAGTACTCAAAGCTATCCCTACGCCAGCTAATCCTCGTGAACTAGCTGTGGCATCTCCTGACACCCTCAAGGTGAATTTTGCAGATTCAACCTGTTGGCCAGGTGGGGTTAGGTGAATAACCACACTTGGGTCTTGTATGCGTGTTTCTGAAACACAGCATACATCAATGGCTCGTGATGCCAGGGTCTTGGCTAGTGATGCTTGTTGTCCTATTTGGCAAAGTGTCCTAACATTAAGAGCTCCTATATGAAATTGGTGGCGCGGCTTTAAGAGGCTGTCGGTGGTGGTTTTTTGGCTTCCATCGTTTTTAGTGGACGCAGAGTGGAGAGGAAGTGGAGAGCTATCAAGTCGAGGAGTTGCATCAGTGGAAGGAAGGCAAGATGATAGAGATGAAGATGAAGACAAAGATGAGTGAGTAATAGAGAGGTTTCGTGTGCATTTCGGATTGTGAGGGCGATTGTTACTTCCCGGCTGCCCACACCGTGGAAGTTGGTTGCGTGACCGCAGAGCCCAGGGGACAACTGCTTGAGGCCGGTCACACGCGGCCTGTTTTTGTTCGTTCTTTTTTGTTTGGTGTGTCTCAGTAGCAGATTTATCACTCCCGCCCTGTGACACGGCAGCAGGAAGCGCGGTCGTTGTTAATCCGGGCCACGGCCGATCCGGCATGAAATTTTGTAATTTTGTATTGGACATGATGTTGGATTGGGTAGCTGCTTTTTGTTTAACCGCTATCCAAACAACCTGCCTGGCATGGTAGAACCTCAAGAGACATAAGTCTCAGCCAGTATAGCTTGATTAGGTCATTGCGGTGTTCAAGCCCGACCACCACGTCAAGGTAGCAGCTTTCGGTCCACCATTGTCGTTGGTGGGACATCCATCCACACACGTGACATCTAATTGGACCTCACTGGTCACGACTTCTCACTAGAACTCAGGAAACTCCAACCTGTAGCAAGTCACTAGCGAGCATCAGATTAATTTTCTACAGTTTGGTTTGTAAGGGTTAGTTATGTTTCTACGAGTTGATCACGGACTGATATCAACTCGTAAAAAGATAACTAACCCTTACAAACCAAACTATACAAAATTTATTAATTCCCACTTCATTAACTTTTGTTGCTTGTTATAAATGCGTGTGGGGAAATAAATGTTTCGAAGCCTAATTGCCTGTATAAAAACTTTTGAATAATCACGGCTGCCAGTAATATCATAATCACAAAATGATTTATGAGGAGATTCTAAGTATTTTTCACATGGTTTAGTTCATGTAAGATAAATTCTACACAGAAATATTGTATTGAACTGTTCGTATAACGTGGAACGACGTAATATACACTCGTGTATTAGATAAGAATAACAATAATATTAATAATGGTAAAATAGTAGCAATAATAATAATAGCAATTATACTATAAGTAAATCTGTATGAGAAAGTTAAGCGCATTAGGTAATAATGGCTGATTTGCAAAACCAGTCAGAGAGCAAAAAGCAAGCAATGATCGTTTTGCTGATTCATCTGAAATTAAAATCAATTATTGAGCAACTATATCTTTGGCCAGAAACACCCCTCACTCAAGATCTCAATTCATACTACATTTGATCACATTTATACACTATTTGGTGAGTAGTCTTGTGTAGCCCTCTGTCTAATACAGACATTAAGGAGACACAGCAACTGAATTCCTGGCATTGAAACTTCGAAATTTAATAGCTAAAACATTCTTTGCCGGAACAATGTTTAAAATTCGCCACTGGTTGTGTAATTCCAACGCAAGTGAAGGATAAGCAGCTACCAAGCCTGGCCACTTCAACATACATTTATAAATTTAACTGTTCATGTGGGTAGAAGGACTCGGCAATCCCACCCAACGTAGTTAGGTAGAGGAGTCGTGAAGCCAATCAGAAGTTCCATACTGGCACACCTAGTGGATACAGGATACAAGATTGACAAAAATTCAGCTTTTGCAATTCTATAAACGGTGTCACCTCAACTTCCTAGGTTGGTACATCTCCAGTTGCTAAGCACAGCTGAGGGAGTTGACATAAAGATTTTCCAACACAATCTCTGTGTTCAGAAGAAGTTAGTTTAGTCCCTCTCCCCGTTGGCCTTCGCCCCAAACTTAAAATAGTTACCTCTCCTGGTGACTCCAGATAACTGTAAATATTATCTTATATTTTTATTTTATTTGTAATGCTAACTGTATTATCAGTATCATGCTGAGCTGTAGTTGTACATTTTATTCTCTGTGTAACAATTTATCGTTACTATGTTATCTAATTACAATGTGACAGTAGTTATTTTCCTCTCCACCCCTATTAGTATACACATTCTACCTATCTACTCACCGTTGCCTAGATTAAAGACTTGAATGAATCTTTTCTTGTTATTATTATGATTATTATGATCACCTCGATTGTTATCCATTAATTCACATTCCTGAACTCTGATCCTATATTGTATCGTATGCCTACGACTAATATTTCGTCATTATGTAAATGTAAAGGTGGACGAGAATTTACGGAAAATACGTATTTGCTTAAATCTTGTTCTATAATACATATTGCGTCGAAATAATTTTAAAATGTATAATACTTTGAGACAATTAGTAATTGCCTGCATTCACATTTTGTCAACACTTTATCAATACCTGAGTATATAAATTAATAAACGAAATAACATCACAACCTGTTCTAGAAAATCTTCAGACAATACATATGTACAAGCATTGAGAGCCATTGAGTGAAATTCCTTTGACAAATCACTACGACACCAAGAGGACCATGAATCTGAAGCTTCTGCTAAATGATTAGTAACAGCAATGAATTGAATCACAGTATTGTGTAGGCATGCACCCAGATGATCTAGCGAATTGAAAATTGGAGAGTGAAGAGAATCTCCATTTATCGATTTATCCTTTTTGATCTTTCGCTTCTGGCGTTTACTTGCTTGGTGATGATAATGGCTAAAATGAGGACAACGAGAGTAGAATAAACACAAACTATTTCATAGTAAGAAATCTTTATTCATCACTAAGTGTTGGTACAAGGAACGTTAGAGGTATATTCAATTAAAAGCTTCACTTGATCAGCACACTTCATGTCATTATGTAATATGAACTGAAGAGCAAAGTAAACAAATTTCCATTCATATGTTGTTTGAAGTGTTTGTTTGTGGAGAGTAATGCTATTTTGCATGATGACTGATGTAGTTAGTACAATGAACTCAATGGGTAATTAGACACTAGAGTTTTACCACATTGAAAGCTCAATGCAGAGGATTTCCAATATTACGAAGGGAAAGGAATGAATACATATCGTAAAGCTTGATAAGAGTAACTACGGAGTTATCACTTATGTATAAAAGTCAAAAATTGGATGCTAGAGGTAGTGAGTTTTCTAAAAATGTTACAATATGAAAAATTTCTATTCATAAATAATAATTGGTTAATCTCATCAAGTCTACATTCTCTCTTTAAAAACTATATCCCAGCTGTGAACAACCATGTTTTGTTAGCGGATATTATCTCGCTCTTCGCACTAGGAGTCAAGAGACATGATAATTACTCCTTCGTATTAGTGAATATATACTACATACACCGATTTAGCAGGAAAATGTCCAAAACCTAAGCAAGGAAAGCACTGAAAATATAAAAGAACTCCTAAAAGTACGGTTTTCGGATGAATCTCAGACTAACAGACATTGATATGAATCACACCACTCGGGAAATAAAGAACAAATCACAATGATCACTAACAACTACAAGTGAACGCGAGGATAAGAAAAACTGTCTAGACAGACAACCAATCACTCTTAAGTACATTATGAAAGCAAGCTCTATTGCGTACTTTCATGGAGAATTCTAAAAGTTCAACTTGGACTACTGCACTCTGTGCAAACTTGTGCAATGTAAATTTAGATGAGTTCAATTACTTCAGCTTGAAGTCAACCTTAAGGAAGCAGTCCAGAAAGACAATGAAAGGTTCGAAATAGAACTATCTCGTTCACAGAAGGCAAAAACACCAAAAATATTATATTTTTCACTTCAACGATATGTATGATGTCAAATAAAAAGCATTTTGTTTTTGAGTCTTTACCTAATCAACAGCAGAACTTCTCTTTATACATGGAAAAAACTAAACTTCTACTTTTGTCTTTTTGTTCAACTACACCAGATGGTTAAAAAAATTGGGAACCATCATCTGTCAATTAAATCAGTAGATGAACTCTCCCTTGCCCTTCCCAATAGGAAGGAGGGAATATTTATCCTACCGATAGCTGCGTACGTTTCACAAATCTTGTCCTGTGACGTTCCAAACTGGGTATACAAATGTTCACGAGGAACAGGCAACGACGAAAATCAGCTTCCTGCCAGAAGGCCGATGCGTGAGTGCCAAAATCGTTTACTATACACGTTTAGAAAGAAAATCTTCAGAGCATTCAATATGGATGTTTTTTACCTATGTAAGTCACATTAACAGTTAATCTAAGCACTGAATAATTTAAATCTGCCTTATACAGAAAATTGGGTGAGAATCTCAACAACACAAATTGTGTATATGTAAAAGCAGAAAATCAACGTTATATATCGACAAGGTGATTAAATTTACCTTCTTGGACGTAATGCACTTCGAATCATTGATATTAGTAGACTGCCCAATGAAATACTTTCATAAAGCATTGTTAAGATCAATAAAATACCGCCTAGATGAACACAGTCTTTATCTCCTGATGTTTCATTGGTTGTATGTACACCATTATGTGCAAAAGGGAATGAAGTTGTATCTACAGATGGATAAATTTGTGGTATGTCAATATCCTTTTGAATACACTTTACTGACGAAAAGCATTCATTTAGAGAATTGAAAAGGTAGTCTATACTTTTTCTTGGAAAGGCACCTGGATAACACATAAAGAAGAAAATAAATAAGGTACTGCATATAAGGTGACACGTAACTGAGATTAAATACAAATTTCAGATTATTGAGCTTAAAAATTAATTCCTACTATAGTTTGTATTTTTTAACACTTACATGGGCCATCCGAAACCAAACGAAGAAGACCCAACATAATTTCAAGACCAATGGACAAAATACTACGATATGGTCCATAGTAATATAGTGAAGTACAGGTTACATCTGGCAAATCGGGGAATGTTTTCAGTATCTGATCCCGTCTTGTCATCACATTCCAAGACTAAAATAGGGTAAAAACAAGGCAGGAATAGAAGAGAACGAATCGCTCCTAAACGACTTTTAAAAAAATACGATTATACAAAAGTAGTAGAGATTAACACTGGCATAAATCCTTTATATACTGACACGTTGTAACATTCTGTTTAATCGGTAGCTAATTTTTAATTTTTCCTTCCCCTTCCCAGTGGAACATAGGGCTTCAAGCTAGTGGCTTAAAGTTTCTGTAGCAGTGCTTATTTTTACAGGATGGGGTTGCTAGCCTCATGCCTCTTTACCAGCATTATTTCTGGCTTAGCGAGGTAAAGGAGTGCGTCGGCCAGGGATCGAACCTCGGACCATTTGCATGGTCGGCGAGCATCCTAACCGCTGTGTCACCCACGCGCGTTTAATCGGTAAGCTCATTTAAACTACATTTCACGCAAATGTTAATCCTATGCAGAAGTGACTGGCTTATCTTCAGTGTCCTTGAACTAGAAAGATGATAAAAATACTGACAACATTAATACAATTTGTTGGTTATGTGAACACAGTTACTAGACTGTGGAATCACATGCAGTCCAAGTGTGATAACTGAACCACTCATGTATTCTACTCAAAATGCACGCATTAATTGAAGCTTTGTGAATCATTATCTGATATTAGAGTGCATGGACTGTTGGAATGAAACCTGAAAGTAACAATGCGATAGATTTTAATCTAATAAAATACTAGAAAATGGACAATGTTTTTGAAATTCATTAGGCTACTTGATATGCAAAAGGGTTATACACTGGTGCTTCCTGCATTCCCAATTAAAAAAATTCACTTTCAAAAGTTATGGAATGATCGAAGTACAGCTTTTTGGAAATTACGTTATTCTTTGAACAGAGTAATTTTTATCAGACGGAATATGAAGCATTAGAGCTTTGATAAGTAGGAAGAACAAAAAAGAAAGCAACGAAGAGATTCGAGATACAAACATGACACAAATCCAAGTGAAGACCCACCAGTGTCTGAAAGTTTTTCATTTTTTCTTCAGATGGTTGATTGATGCGCGACGCTAGATCATTTAAGGTAGACAGTAAGCTATTTACGTTCTTGACTGCCTCTGATGAAAGCATATTTTCTGATGTTTCTTTTTGGTTATCAGAAATAAGACTATGTACAACTTTTACAATCGACATAACAAGCGATGTACTGTCAAGAATGACATTCAGCGTTGTAAAGCGAAGATTTATCCATGATATCTGAAATAATAAGTATTCGAATAAATAACATTGTACACCAGAAACAGTGATAAAGGACGATGACATACACCTGATAAACAAAGATGAAAAATAAAAGCAGTTTGCCCAAATGGCTAGCCAGAAATCAATTGATTTCAACTGATTCGGCTCTCTGAGCTGAGTTATACCGGGTACGCCGCTGATGAGTTCTGTCCCGAACGAACGAAATGGCCGTCTGGTGTTTTGATCACTTCGATCTAGTTAGCAAGCAACACTGGTTAATGTGAGTGGTGTAAACAACTACTCACCTTAATTAATCGGCAGTATGTAGTTTTACGAATTGTTTATGTAAACTTCTGCTACAAGGTAGCTCAATAAGCCTTTTTAAAAAGTATTCTAACATCTCATTTTAACAACAAACTGGTTTTCACACAATTAACCCAATTAAATTGTGAACATAAGAAATATCATGCACCACTGATTAAACTAGTTAAAGGGACAGTAATAACAAACATATCAACCGTTTGGAAAAAATTAAACCATCACAATTTATATTAAAAGATGAAATACCTCAACAACAACAAAAATACATAAAACACAAGCCTCCTACAGCAGATCAAACTTATTGTTTTCAGAAGTTATGATTGATATAATTTACTTCTAGAGCTCCAAGTGTGAACATGTATATGGTGATTAATTGTAAAACAGTGACCAATTTGCGAAAACCCTTCGGTCAAAAATCACACCGAACTACTGACTTAAACACTTCAGATTTTGGTGCTTTAGCGAATGGGGCAAAAACTGTTACTTTTTAAAAAACAAAACAAAGCCATTTAAACCTCCTGAAATAAGGAAGAACAAACAAATAAGTATTAATCGGAATAATAAAGTATTTTCAAGGGGTGGGATAAATACATTTGCGATCTGTTCTGAGAAATATGAATTAATAAAGAAAAAATCCCCATTTAGACATTTAGAAAACAGAAAGATTGAGCGAAGAAATATTTACTTTTCAATTAGATCCTCGTCTTTGGCTCTACTCTAATATATATAGCATTTTAATTACAATACAACAGTTTGCCAATCAAGTGGCGATAAGTTTGTTAACAATAATTAAACAGTGTCAATGGGTTAATAGTTAACGAAGAAAATCAATACAGATTTAAAAGGTGGAAATGGATAGAATAAATTAATTTTACAAGAATAACACGTAAATTAAAGATAAAGTGGTCAAAATAAATAAAATAAATAATTTAGACAAATATAATTTTATAGGTTTAGGGGGAGGGGGTGACGCGGTCCTGTTTATCCATTCTTGTGACGATGGCCACGGTAAGGAAAATGGCTGTACAAATGAGGATCTAATTGAAAAGTAAATATTTCTTCGCTCAATCTTTTTGTTTTCTAAATATGAATTAAGTTTTTGAGTAAACTTGTAGCTAAAATTCCGAAGATCCCAGTAGACTACACTTCCAAAAAGCAGGTTGACCAACGGGCCTTATGGCACTCCCACCAGCACAAGCGTAAATGAGAGTACAACAATAAAATGATGACTTATTCTAACATTTCAATTATGTTTACCGCTATAAAACCACTGAAAAATAACTTTGCTTCTGTATATACGTACATAAAAGGTTTACAAAATTATTTGATAAAACAACTTACCAAATGATCAAACGATAGCTGGACATTCTCTTGCTGTTCATATCTAAATAAATTAATTGTAGGTGAGAAATATGAGACTGTAACACTTACGGATCAAAATTAGGTGTGACAGAAAAATCCCGGCAATCAACAATCGTTTTAAGGTGCTTTGAAACTGAAGTATAATGAAAAGAAATAGTATGAAAATATGTCAATAACTACAAAGAAACTATCGCACACAGACAAACACTTATCTAGGAAATCTTAAACGAAAATGCAAACTTCAGTGACTTACTATTAAGGATACCAGTTTGCGCAGGACCAATTTGTTCTAACAATGTATCAAAGCTGAAAAGATTCAAGAGTCACAAAGAGATTAGATGTCCATAAAATTACAGTGTAATAAAAAACCAAATACTTTTTTCATGTTCTATCATGTTAAAGAGCTTATAAAAATACAGTAAAAGCTAAAAAAAAACATGAATGTAACAGTATAGAATAAGAGTACTGTTGTAGAGTATAGTTCCGCAATAGGTAAGTTTATTCAATATTACACAGTGATACAGTATTAACAAGTGGATCACGTCATCCAATTATTAATACTGTATCACTGTAATATCGAATATACTTACCTAATGTGTAATCAGTGAAAGGAATGTTTAACACAGTACGAAGAACACTTTTAGGTTTGCCACTATAACAAACAAGTCTATAAACCTGAAAGCCTATATAACAGAATGTAATATACGCAGTAGTAGGTAAGACTTCAACGTCAAGTAGGTTATTCTTCTGCAAAGCATATAGAAAGGTTTATTAATCAAATAAAAAATTTCATATGATGAAACCGTCAAGATCTGAAGCGTGTGTACACTGATCTCTTCGTCTCATCAACCATTATTTGTTGTATAACGTCAAATCCTACTTTCCAAAACACTGAATTCAGGTTTACTAATCCCATTAACACTAAATCTTTTAATCAGACTGCAGTGGCTTAAAATTACTGAGCAAGCAATAAGCTGAATAGAAACTATTACTTCTATCCTTTCTGAATGTATATATGACAACCTATGTGCAGAAGTTTATGACACCATGACTTTTACTGAGAAGCTGATGACACACTATCTAGTTAAGAGAAAACAATATCAAAAAAAGACTCAACCTTTAGTTAAGAGTCGGGAATCATGAACACCGAACTACATTGAAATCTTAAACAGCATTAGAAACTTTTAACCTGATATTTTAAGCCGTATTCAAAAAGGTAATCGACTTTACACCATTAGAGCATTGTTCATCTGAGGAAAGGTTCAGTGTTCATGATCAGTTACTAAGTCACCTAATCCTCAAACCAGGTAGCGGATACATAATGATGAAAATAGAGAATCTTAAACAGTATTTTGCACTTTCTGCTCAGTAAACAGCACAGAGAATGGATGGAAGTACAGCTTATTAATAAGAATAGAGAATAATGTTGCGGAAATTGAGGCTGAAAAATCGAAAATTCCACTAACTTTCTCGTAATGAAGATAATTAGAGCAACGGTTTTGGTTTGCGCGGTTGTTATCAAGCGCAAATACCTCCTTCTACTATTTTGAATTCAGATGTTGGAAACGATTTGTTTAGTCTATCCGTATAGTTTAAATCAAAAATCAAATTATGCTTATCACAAACTTTCAGACATGATATATTACCAGCAGTTTTGTATTCATATTAGGGCCGCTTGTATTTTGTCTACACACAATCCATTTTTGTTATTTTAGAATTAATGTATTAGATAACTATTAAGCTAAAGAAAAGTAGTCGTACAGCATAAAATGCAAACAAAAGCAACAATACTTACTCAGACTGTGAAATAATTAACTGCCAGTGAAGTAATTCTGTCTGCACAGCCAAAAAAGTATCTGCATTTTTAAGCTGATTCACGAATTGTGTGAATTCACGAATTTTCGTATAAGCATGTTTTCGATATGCGGCAACTAAACATTCTTCAGCTTCACTGACCATACTACTTGAAAGTGTCATAATTCTCTGGTAAAGACTATGAAGAGCGTTACTATTATCATCATTTTGAGACTGTGATGGAAGAATATCTGTACATACAGTCAGTGATGGAGATGGTTTTATGAACAAATGGCTGAAAATGAACACAGCATAGAGTAAAACAACTAATATCAAATTGCACGTGCTGAAGTTACGTAATTATCATTCATTTCACTGTTGATATGACAGTGTAACAAAACAATCAAAAATACGACCTAGATTTTAATTCGAATTTAATGTAACAGAAGTATCTGAACTGAACGGAATTATCAGAGTAAAGTGTTGAACGATTGCAGCAGTTTATTTTGCTAAACTTCATCAAAGTACACATAAAGGCTGAGAAAAAATATAGAATGAGACCCCAAGAAATGTTAATGCACAAAAAGAATAATTGCATATACACCTATGAGGACAATTCTGAGTCACGACAACAGCTGCTGCTGTTTTCGACATAGAACTTTGCACATATGTGCGCCAGTTCAAGTCGCCACACAAAGCAAGAGAAGAATGTAGGAGAAATCCACAATAGAGACAGTAAACGGAAGTGTGAGACAAAGGAATAGTAATAACGAAGAACAAAACAGTTTCATTGGAAATCATAAGTCACAAGGAGTGGATGCATCTGCGCCACTGAGAACGGTTTTGAGCCATATCACCAATTGTTTCCGACCATTGATTTTTACCGTCCCGAGGACCCCAGCCTGGAAGTCTACACCTTCCTACGTGGCTTAGACCAACTGTTGTGGATTTCATTGACTGGTGCAGCCAAGTTTTTGTTTGACCGCCACTAGCTTTTTTCCAGCATGACCCTATATCCGCTAACATTGCTCGTCGAGGGAGGCGATGGCTTGGTATACGTAACATATGTCCTAACCATCTCAGTCTTTGTAACTTCACGACTTCGTCGATTGATTTCCCCTGTTTACCTAGAACTCTACGCCTAACTTCAAATGTTGCTCACCTTATTATGCCACTTTACACGGGAAATAGAACGCAGGCACCTATGATCAAAGACAGCTAGCTGGCGTTTTCATATCTTACACTCTCAGTGGCCAGGTCTCACAACCATAAAGGAGGACGGAGCGGACTGATGAGCAGTACACCCGCCCTTTGGTCGGTAGTCGAACATCTCGTCTACGCCAGAGTCGACGTAAACTGGCAAATGAGAAACGAGCCCCCTGTATTCGTGCTGAGATTCCGTCAGAGATCAACCCGTTGGCACTGGCTCATGGTACTTCCCAAATAAGTGAAGCGGTCAACGTGCTCTACCACTTCACTTCCTATTTTTAAACTAGGCGTCGATGTGGTCCAGTCCTGTAACATCATCTTGCATTTGGCGGGAGCGAATCGCATGCCAAACATTCGTAGATTGCGGCTCAAGGTGTTTAGAAGACTCTGCATTTCGTCAGCGTCTTCGCCTAGAAGGACTATATCGTCTGCATATTCGAAGTCAACGAGATTATTCCCTGGTAGCAAATCAATCCCTGAGTCACTGAAGTCACCTGAGGTTAAGTCCATTAACACATCTATGATGAAGTTGAATAGAAAAGGAGATAATGGGCATCCTTGACGGACACCACTGGTCGTCACCAGTTCAGATGACAGCTCGCTGTAAGCCCTCATCTGGCTGTATGTCTGTCTGTCTGGATTCAACATAGAACTTGGCGCCGAAGTGCAGCAGTTCGAGTTGCCACCTTCCAAATAGCACACAGAGGTAGACAAGAAGATGAGTGAAGAGAATCAATACAGTCTGACAAGTATAAGAGTGAAACAGAATGGGCAATGGTAGAAAGGAATATGAAAGATTACAGAGACTGAATACATCTGCGCCATTGACAACGATTTTGAGCCATGTCACCTATTGTCTCCAGCCATTGATTTCTAGAGTCAGTTCAGGGGGCCCCAACCCGGAAGTCTGCATCTCCTTACCTGACTCAGTTTAACTGTCAAGGATTTCATGGATTGATGAGGCCATGTGTTTGTTTGGCCACCACTGGCTCTTTTCCAACCTGCACCACCTATATCAGCTAGTAATGCCCGTCGGGGGAGGCGGTGGTTAGGCATGCACAGCACGTGGCCTAGCCATCTTAGTCTATGTAACTTTATAGCCTCGTCGATTGATTTTCCCTCTTTGCCCAACACTCTACGCCTAACGTCAACATTGCTTACCTTATTAAACCACCTAACGTGAGACAGAGATCGCAGACATCTATGATCAAAAACAGTCAACCTTTTCATGTCTTCAACGCGTATTGGCCATGTTTCAGAGCCATAGAGAAGGATGGAGCGAACTGCTGAGCAGTACACACGTCCCTTGGTTGATAGCCGGATGTCATGCCTACGCCAGAGATGGTGTAAGTCAGCGAAAGCAGCTCGAGCTTTTCGGATCCGTGCTGAGATTTCGTCGCCAATCAGTCCGTTGGTGCTAATACAACTTCCCAAATAGGTGAAGTGGTCAACATGTTCTATCACTTCACTCTCTATCACTAAGTTAGGAGTTGACGTGGTCCATTCCTGTAGCAGCATCTTACATTTTTCAGGGGCGAATCGCATGCTAAACATACGAAGATTGCTGCTCAAGGTGTTCAGAAGACTCTGCATTTTGTCACCATCCTCCCCTAACAGGACTATGTCATCTGCATATTCTAAGTCCATAAGACTATTCCCTGGTAACAAGTCGATTCCTAAGTCATTACGTTCAGTTAAGGATACTTCTATCAGCATATCTATGATGAAGTTAAACAGAAATGGGGAAAGTGGACATCCCTGTCGGACACCACTGGTTGTTACCAATTCAGATGACAATTTCCCATAAGCCCTTACACGACTACGTGAGTTTGAATAGAGTGCCTTGATTAGTGCAATGAACTTTCTTGGCACTCCCTTCACAGTCAGACATTGCCATAGTACCTTTCGATCCACGGAGTCGAAGGCCGCCTTCAAGTCAAGAAATATGACAATTGTTGGACGCCGAAAAGTGTGTCTGTATGTGTTTGGCTGTATGAGTACGAGTAGAGTGCCCTAATCAGTGCAATATATTTTCTCGGAATTCCCTTTACAGCTAGGCATCTTCAGAGGACTTCTCGATCGACAGAGTCAAAAGCTGCCTTTAGGTCAAGAAATACAATGACTGTTGGACGCCGTTAGGAATTCCTATGTTCTAGAATCTGTCGGAGGGTGAAGATATGATCAATACACCCTCTTCCTGGTCTAAAGCCTGCGTGGCTCTTTCGTGTTTGAGCCTCCCGAGCACCACTCAGTCTACGCATGATTATTGAGCCTAGGACTTTAGATACTATATTAGTCAAGCTAATCCCTTTGTGATTATCACAGGAAGACTTGTCTCCTTCTTGTATATCGGGATAATCAGTGACTTACATCAACCCGATGGGACCTCTTCTGATTCCCAGACGCTGCCTAGTACCTCATTTAATGCAGACAGTAAACTGTCTCCACCGTACTTAAATACCTCTGGAGTCATTCCATTAGGTCCCGCTGCTTTGCCTAGTTTCAGATTGGTGACAGCTTTAGTAACCTCAGTTAGGGATGGAGGACCTGTGTCTATATCCCATTCAGGGAGGTGTTGGATGTTCGGAAGGTTGAGCGTGGCTGTGGGCCAATTAAACTGCTTCTCATAGTGTTCTTTCCAGCGTTCCAGTCGTCTATCGTGAGAACTAATTATGATGCCATTCTTCTCAGAGATTGTTTCACTTATCATTTGCCTTTTGCCACCTGTTTCCCTGATAAGCCTAAATAGTTGTCTGGTGTTACCAATCGCCGATGCCTTTTCCATCTCTTTCGCTTTTGTCGCCTACCACTGTTCACGGTCGTTGCAAAAACTTCTTGTTAGTTTTCGTTTGGGTAGCTTTCGCTCCTCATCATAATTGGAGCTCGCTGGAATCAGTCTTCTTGCGTCAATCAGTTCGGATGAGGTGGTAGGGATCCAATGGCTTTCACTAGCCTTTAGTTTTATGTCATTAAAAGCCTTCACAGCTGTGTCTACAGCTAACTGTATGTTGTGCCAGGCTACCTCAGGGGAAGTCCTGTTGTTGACCTCAGACACTCGTTCGCTATTTCTTCCTTAAATAAGGACTCAGTGTCCCGAACTAGTTGGGGACGTAACTGTTTCGCTGCCGTCAATTTCTTATGTCCATTCAGTTGTAAGCATAATATAAATATATAATTTTTATAATTTTTCCTTCACTTTCCCAGTGGAACATAGGGCTCCAAGCTATTGGCTTGAAGTTTCTGTATCAGTGTTTAATTTTTACAGGATGGGGTTGCTAGCCTTATGCCCAACCTTTCCTCTTTACCAGCATTATTTCTGGCTCAGTGAGGTAAAGGAGTGCGCCGGCCGGGGATCGAACCCCGGACCATATGCATGGTCGGCGAGCGTGCTAACCGCTATACCACCGACGCACGTTGTAAGCATAAACGTGCGCGAACCAAAGCGACAACGACAATCCCTAACCACTGATTCTAAGCATCTGGAGGACCCCAGTCACGCAGTTCACACCTTCCTACTTGGTTCAAGTCAATAGTCACAGACTTCATGGAGTGATGCAATATTTCGGTTTGACCAGCATTTCCTCAACCTATTTCTTCATCAGCTAGCTTTGCTTATCAAAGGAGGAGGTGAAGAGGCACGTATAACACACCCTAGATATCTCAGTCGATTGAATACCCGTCCTCATCGTACACTCTAGCTCTAAAGTGATTATAAGTGGTCACATTGCATCACGTAACATGAAGAATTGAACACGGACACCTATAGTCGAAAAGGTGTTATTTCCTCAGATATCCTACCTTTTAGTCCTAAAATAAGATGGGACGAACTGAAGCAAAGTATAGACGTTGTTTGATGGATATCAGCGCCAAAGATGACGCCATATGGCAAGTGAGAGAGAAGCCTTTTGTCTCTTTGATGAGACTTTGTCCACAAACTGACTAGATGAGTCCCAACATAGAACTTAGCATAAAAGTGCAGCACATTGAGTTGCCACATCCCACAATGAATCCATTAGGTCTGATTAGTGTTGCTTAGTTGTCCATAAACAAAAAGTACGATGTGAAATTGTGACTTAATATTTAATAGCTTGAACTGAGTTGTCTAGTAACAACAAAACTTAAACCAATCAATTTTAACTTTGCATATAGCTTTTTCAAGTGTAATAAAGTGATTATGAGAAAGAATTTAGCACACTAACTCTCAAAATCCTTTAACAATTGACAGTCACTTAAAGTCGCTGAAACATTTCGAATGTCTGACATGCCTACTACCACATATATACACAAATTTGGGCATCACATGTATATGGCTTCATTTGTCAGAGTAGAAAAGGGTTTGTCTGAAGAATGCAAGGTGAGTTCATTGGCATTTCAAACTTAAGATGCCTACGACAAAACTAATTAATATTTTCACAAATAACCAAGAAAATAAGCTACCTTTTAGAACCATTTAGCATTAGACTTGACTTCAAAACAATCCAAGTCCAAACCTAGCTATAGATGAAAAAATGTATATTTTATCAGACTTACCCTAATGAAAGGAACAGTAGCTGCTTGATTTCAAGTTTATCTAAATGCGGCAACAAAAGCTCAGTACAATTCAGGTAATCAGAAGAATACAAACGACATAATTTCATGCGCAAATGATGGTTGACATTAGTATACTCTAACCCAATTACGTGAATCCAATAAATAGCAAGTAGGCCAGCACCAAAAGAGAATGAATAATTATCGACCGGGACAGAGGAAGCTTCCAGAAGTGATGACAAAGCTAATAGTAAAAACCCATCGACCGGATAAAGGTCAAGAAAGTTTACATCATCCTTAATGGCAATATCTTTAAACTTCTTCACCAATAATTCACTTCGATCTGGGGCGTATCCAAAGTAGGAACGTAGAAGTGTCTGTGAAGAAGCTTGATGGTTATTTGCACGTGCTATTTGGTATGCGCACAAATGGCGATAAACACTTTTATCTTCTTTGTTTGTCTGGTTAACAAATACAGACATAATAACGACTGAATAATGAACATAGTAATGTAATAAACTACTGAAATAAAAAACTAATAAAACTGATTATTTCCATAGTGAAAACGTGCAAATACGGAATTTTATTTACTTTGTGGAAGTGGGAAAAGTCTAAAAGTAGACGGACTGAAGGCACAGTAGCAAGCATGGAGTTCGCTGGCTGATAGTCAGTGTGGTTTGTGAAATTGCATATGGTGAGTGTTTTGCAAAGTAATTATTGGTTAATTACTTAAAATACATTTGTTAGCACAACTATCTTCGATAATCAGTAGGCCTCCATAGATAAACATTATTCAGAAGAGGCGTACAAGTGCGATGAATCAAATAGAATCTTTGACAGAGCATTAGCTTCATGGAGATGGTAGAAATAATTTTTGTGACGTGTAACCAGTAAGCACGAAACCTAGCCCAAAGACATTTCCCCGATGGCCTTTAAACATTTAACATCTAGTCAATATTTTGACAATAGTTTTGTCTATATTTCCTAAATCCTAGCCCCAAATCACATATGTCGTACAAGTTTTCGTCCAGAGGGTTCGAAGGATAATATTCCCAATCCTAAGTGTTTCGCTGTCCTAAAGGGAAAACAATACGTACACTGTCCAATTCATCAACCGACATTTTGAGTGGCTTAATTCAGACACATTAGAGTAATTTTGAAAACTACGTAGCACCTGTTGAGTACTGGCTTATTTAATAATAAAACACATCCACATAGTGTACAAAAATGATGAAACTCACGAAATCCAAATTCGCCTCCACGGTGTCTAATAAAGTACTAATGTACTAAAAAAAATAAAGATAAGAAAAACAGCCATTTAATTAAATCCCAAGAATTACTCTAGCAACACAAGTAAACTAAAAGCAGATAATATACGCTACTTAAAACTTAAACGAATGTAGTTTGTAAAGAAACAGTGAATTTCCTTATTTTCTTTCGCGTTACTTTTATAATTAATAGTTCAGCTGCCCAAAGAAGAAACTCATACCACAGTTTAATAACAACGGCGAGACTCTTCTTTTGACAAAATGTAATAAATATTATACATCAGATGGGAATACATAAATAGATCCCAATAAATAGAGGGTGACGTACACTCCCACAAACATATTTTATGAAGCAAAGTCTGTTTTATTTGTATAAGGTTGTTGATATTATTATGCATTATCCTCACAAAAAACTAAACTGAATATAGTATATTAAACAACAGTGAATATTTAATGAATGCGTGGTTTAGACTCAACACCAGCACTGATACCATAAGGCTGCTCGCGATTCCTTTACATAATGACTGTTTAGAGTCCATCGAACACAAATTTACATCATTCTAATTTGCAGGTACGTTCTTAATCGCTCATTCAAAACTGAAGTTGTTCATTACGATAGCAAAGTTACGAAAGCCAATATACCTGGTCTCTTTCTCTCTGTAGTTATTTTACTGACGTAAATCATTCAGATCTGCCCTCTAGTATTGTTGTGAACTCTTCTTATAATACGTATCTAGTCATATTCATATCTCTACCGCTATTAACACTCTTTTTTTCCTTTATATGTTTAAGCCATTCCGGCTTCATTGTAAAATGAATAAAGCCTAAATTCTTGGTTCATTCGTCTTTTCAAGATTCAAGCATCACTCATCGTTCTAAGACTCAATCACCTTCGTAACAATTTATTCATTTTACAATATTCATGGAACGATTTTTCCGACCTGATCGGTTCGACGTAGAACCTAACGCAGTTGGAGCTGCCAAGAAGTGGGATCACTGGTTTGCGACTTTCTCCTACTTCATTGAATCAATGGGATCCGAAAATCCTTCGAAACTACATATTCTCTTCAATCATATTTCTACTTCTGTATACGAATGCATTTCTGAATGCAAAACATACGAAGAAGCTATCGACACTCTCAAGAGTCTCTACATGCAGCCTTGCAACGAAGTGTTTGCTCGACACTTGTTAGCAACGTGTAAACAAGAATCTGGCGAAAATCTGGATCAGTTTGTTCGTCGACTCAAGTCGCTGACTACAGATTGTTCATTCAGGGCAGTTACAGCCGAAGAACATCGTAACGAATCTCTACGTGATTCATTCATCTCAGGTATACAGTCTTCGATGATACGCCAGAGGCTATTAGAACAGCGTACTTTAACTTTTCAAGCGGCATACGATCAAGCACGAGCTCTAGAGATGGCACATCAACAATCGCAGTCATACAACAATCCTGTTACACCTTGCGCGTCCATTTCTTTACATGATGTACCTCATTCATCAGATTCCACACCCTCCGTCAATGAAACAACCATTGCTGCCGTTGAATCCAAATGCTTTTTCTGTGGTAATCGTAGACATCCTCGTTCCAAATGCCCCGCCCGTGATGCAGTTTGCAAAGCTTGTGGCAAGCAAGGACATTTTCAGAAGGTTTGCAGGTCTGCGCCATCTACGAAAAAAGGTCCATCTTCAGTTAACTCTATAATTTCATCTCTCGTTGTGGCTTCAGCACCTCAAAGTCTCACTGATGCTGTTACGCAGCTTACTGTCAATGGGAAATCAATGCAAGCTCTAGTGGATACCGGAAGCAGTGAGAGCTACATCTCTTCCTCAGTTGTTCGTAAGTATAACTGGAAAGTCCATAAGTCTCGAAACAGAATCACAATGGCGAGTACGAATCTTACTAGTCATACTGAAGGACATTGTTTTCTATCCATCTGCTATAAAAACCACACTTATGATCTATTCAAATTTTCCATTCTTCATAATTTATGTGCAGACGTCCTTCTTGGACATGATTTTTTAAAACTTCACAAACACATTGAGATTCCTTTTGGGGGATCAAAGCCGCCTTTTTCTCTCTGTGGTCTACCTTGTGTTCGCGTCGACCTGCCTACCCTGTTTGAAAATCTTTCAAAAGACTGTAAACCGATCGCGATAAAATCCCGGCGTTATTCTCGTGAAGATGAAAGTTTTATTTCCACCGAAGTCAACCGGTTACTGCAAGAAGGTGTTATTGAACCTTCTAATTCTCCTTGGCGAGCTCAAGTTCTTGTTACGTCAAACGAACGCCATAAAAAGAGGATGGTAGTTGATTATAGTCAGACAATCAATCGATTCACTTTTCTGGATGCTTACCCATTACCTAGGATTGACGAAATGATAGAAAAAATCGCACAATATGACATATTCAGCACTCTTGATCTGAAGAATGCTTATCATCAAATTGCCCTAAGGAACGAAGATAAACCATATACTGCTTTCGAGGCTTGTGGGAAACTTTACCAATTTTGCCGAATTCCTTTTGGTGTTACCAATGGCGTAGCTTGTTTTCAACGCATTATCGATGAATTGATCAGTAAAGAACAACTCACAAGCACGTTTGCCTACATTGACAATGTCACTATCTGCGGCAAAACTCAGGAGGAACACGACAAAAATCTAAACAAGTTTATGGTAGCAGCACGCAATTATGGAATAACCCTTAATGATTCCAAAAGTGTGATCTCAAGCAGAAGCATACAATTACTCGGTTATGAAGTTTCAAAGGGGGTTATTAAACCAGATCCCGATCGGCTAAAACCTCTTCGTGATCTAGAACCACCCACAGATATCAAATCTCAACAACGGGCCGTTGGATTATTTGCTTATTATTCACAGTGGATCCCTCGCTTCTCAGATAAAATCCACCCATTGGTAAATAATCGGATTTTCCCTCTTGATATCGAAACTCGAAATGCTTTTGACAAACTGAAAGACGACTTAGAACGTGCAGTCGTTGTGGTAGTTGATCCGAAAGCACCCCTTGTTGTTGAAACAGATGCTTCAGATGTCTCAATTGCAGCTACATTAAACCAGAATGGTAAACCTGTCGCCTTCTTTTCTCGAAGCCTCTCTCGAAGTGAGAAACATCATTCATCGGTTGAGAAAGAAGCCTATGCCGTGGTTGAAGCAATTCGTAAGTGGAAGCATTACCTTCTCGGAAATCACTTCAAACTTGTCACTGATCAACGTTCAGTAGCATTCATGTTTGACAAGATTCATAAAGGCAAAATCAAGAACGATAAAATAATGCGTTGGAGAATTGAGCTATCCCCTTATCAATATGACATCATTTATCGTCCTGGAAGGGATAATCAAGCTGCTGATACATTTTCCCGTAGTTTCTGCGGTTCCTTGCAGTCAGTGTGCGACTTGAAATTTCTCCATGACTCTATGTGCCATCCTGGAGTTGTCCGAATGATGCATTTTGTACGCTCGAGAAACCTTCCATTCTCCCTTGACGAGGTGCGCAATGTAACCAGTAAATGCGTGACATGCTGTGAGTTAAAGCCTCAATTTTACAATCCCTCTAATTTCAAACTCATAAAAGCAACCCAACCTTTTGAAAGGTTAAGCATCGACTTTAAAGGACCTCTACCGTCAGCTAGCCGCAATCACTATCTGCTCACGCTGATCGATGAATATTCTCGATTCCCCTTTGCATTCGCCTGCCCCGACATGTCGTCTCAAACGGTAATGAATTGCCTTTGCCAACTGTTTTCGATTTTCGGTATGCCTTCTTACATACATACCGACAGAGGCGCTGCTTTCATGTCTACCGAATTACGGGCATTTCTTCTGGAGAAAGGCGTAGCAACCAGTCGTACTACCTCATACAATCCTCAAGCCAATGGGCAGGTCGAGCGCCTCAATGGAACACTTTGGCGTGCCATCACTCTAGCATTAAGATCACGGGGCCTACCAACGGCACAATGGGAGTCTGTTCTACTCGACGCCTTGCATTCCATCAGATCTTTGCTCTGTACTGCAACGAACGCCACGCCACACGAACGACTGTTTACCTATAACCGAAGATCGACATCTGGGACAACTCTTCCTACTTGGCTCACTGTACCAGGACCAGTACTTCTCCGGCGGAGTGTTCGTCAGTCCAAATTCGATCCCCTGGTTGAAGAGGTGGAGCTATTGAATTGTAACCCGCAATTCGCTCACGTTCGCTTCGGTAATGGACGTGAAGATACAGTTGCTCTTCATCATCTGGCACCCAAAGGCGAAGATATAGATCAAGTTGAAAATTCAATACCGGAGGGCGACGCAATTCCTGAGCAACAAGTAAATGGGGATGCGACCACTGATCCTAATATTCTTCGTGAAGAAAATACAACTGAAACGAACAACGGGCGTATTCTTTTGGAAAAACAACAACGTGTACGGCCTTACAATTTGCGTACCAGAGAAGCGTGACATAATGGCTCATTCCTTTTCAAGCCGCAGTGAATGTTGTGAACTTTTCTTATAATACGTATCTAGTCATATTCATATCTCTACCGCTATTAACACTCTTTTTTTCCTTTATATGTTTAAGCCATTCCGGCTTCATTGTAAAATGAATAAAGCCTAAATTCTTGGTTCATTCGTCTTTTCAAGATTCAAGCATCACTCATCGTTCTAAGACTCAATCACCTTCGTAACAAGTATATCAAAATAAAAACAGTATTATCTTTCTTTAATACTCCCTTACAAATAAGTGACCAACATTTCAGTTACTTTCAAAATCATGTTTTGACTCAATATGTACAGGCTAAACTACAGTGAAGATATTAGATATCTAAATTCCTGTTTAATCTTCAGTCTTTAACATTTCGTAGGTGACTTGATGTCTTCATAAAGTTTACCGAAGAGTTATAGATAACGTTCCTACGGCTATATTAACGTGTTTAATCATCTTTCGATAAATGTGAATTTCCAAGAGCAATGGAAAAAGCCTAATAAGTGAAAATGTGCTGGTTTCCAAACGAATGGCATTCCGTATCATCACAAACAGCAACAATATTCACGTCAAAGAATAAGCTGAAAAGATTATGGGTTAGGTATGATAAACATATTTATAATTTAGGATGAGGTCTCTAGTTTAGTAGGCTGGTAAACTCATCAAACCAAAAATGGTTGAAGTGAGCAGTACACAACTACTCATCCAGTCAATCAGTAGCATATAGTTTTATGCATTTATGTTTGGTTGCTTGACTACCATTTAAGGTACCAAACATCATATATTTAGATCAGAATAATCTGTTTTTAGAAGAAACTGTGAAATAATTACCTCGAACTGTTTAAATTGCAAATTAGATTTAGGCTGGTAAACTTATGTGATCAGTCGTTATAATCCATTAAAATACAGAATGGTATCGTGAACAAGTTGAGACTATTAACTGCTAGACAAGGCTAGTATTTTGTCGATTAATGGACTTGATGTTTAAATTAAGAATCTTCGATTTGACCTTCGCCTTAAATTACTAGGACCTGGCAACCAAATAATGAGTCACCTTCACATGATAATCGTATTTTAATGATTAATGTCCCTGCAGAAATAAACCATTTCGCATGATAAAATATGAAGTCACTAGTTAATTTAAAAGTACCAAAACAGTTAAAGCAGAACACGTACTTTTAGCTGGTCATCTTGATTCGGCAATACCACACGAACAAGGTAAGCTAAATCCAAAGAACATATAGGCTTGCGACAGAAAGTATTGAAATAATCCAGCATATATGTTAGTGGATTATGATCAGAACCTGAATTCAACCCCAGTTTAAGCATATTGACATACAAATCCAAGCGTGCCAGTTGCGGAGCCCGAACACACCGATGATCGGTTACGGTAGTGTTAACAAGCGACATTACTGTTTCCATCCTATAAACCAAAGACTGATTACTTCAGTCACTATTGTAATTTAGAAAAGTTTATAGTAATATGAATTTAAACCAACTGATGCGACTCCAAATATATATATATATATATATATGCAACAAACGCCATAGTGTAACATGCAAAAACTGAGTATGGTAGTGAATTAACGGATGAAACCTGTCAAGTCCATCAGACCAAAAAACTAGTGCATAAACCAATATACCGTAAGCAATGTCCCACAAAGATGAATAGGGTAACATAACAACTATAACCAAGCAGTGTAATAAGAAAGATACTAACAACAAATAGTGGATAAATTTAGACCTGTAATGACTGAACTATAAAAATATTTAACGGCCAAAATGAAATATTAGCTATATAAACGATGAAGATATATTCGAATGTAAGATTTCAAGAAGGCACAATCCTACTGATTACTTCTTCGTCACTTCCCTGCAAAGAAACAAATACTGTGCACGATTTATGCTTCGTGCCAATATATGATCAAAAGGCTTGAAAGGCTAAATCCAACTTCTCGAAGGCATTCATTCAGCTAACCGCAGATCAGTTCTCAACAAACCTCTTGTTGTTACCGAGACCGGAACTAGGCGGAGACATTACCAGCAGACCATGCACTGCTAAGCTGTATTTTAGGCTACCACAACTCGGCAATAGTTGAGTTGTAAAACAGGATTTTCGAGGTCTGAGTTGAGCGTTAACAGTGCAACTTATGTTTCCCGTAATTCCTGTGTCTACCTAGAAGAAACCCAGTTTTCCTACTTCAAATCGCCCTTACAATATAATGGGGGGAGTGAAATGTGTTCTAAATCAGAATAAAAATTAAAACAGACAAAGGTAGATAGTTAATGACATAGGGCAAAGTAAATTATTGATATTTTAAGTTAACTGATAAAGGATGAATGCTTAGATAACAAAGAGCTATGAACTAATCGAGTTTACGAATAAGATACGTCCGTTATTGTGACTACCTAAACTGGCGCAAATCGACAACACTGATATCACCAGGATAAGACTTAGTATCGGAATATGAGACAAATGACTCAGTTCGCATAGCTTCAGAAGCAGCACATGGAAGAAAAACTCAAATAGCATTCACCACTACACCAAAACTGCAACCAGATTTTTAAGTTCTGAACCTCAGAATTCACATCGGTTATACAGACCAGTTTACTAATTAGTTTACATGAATTTTGTGGCCATTCAGAAACAAAAAACACTTTTTTAATTATAAATACTTCTAGAGAAAATATGAAGTGGCATTGTCTTATCATTTCTAGTGATGAATAACCATACCTTTCTTTATCTCCTAAAGATACTTCTATCAATTTCTTCCATGGAGTCCAATCGTTTGGGTTGACTTTTACCCGTGCTTTTACCAATTCATAAAGATCTTCCCAGATGTCTAAATGAGCTGCCAGACTGAGCCTTGTATAGAAATAATCACATGAGTAATCCTCTTTATCCATATTTTCTGTATGGGAAATTAGCAACAAGCTAGTATAGCATTCTAACCTGTTATATCTTTTCTGTTAAGAAGTTTGTAAGCGGCATCATGCTTATGAAGGCGACCAAGTAGGTCTATTAACACTTGGAATTCTGAGTGTCTGGACATTTTTCCTCCTTCAGCTTCTCTAATCAACATCTTTTCAGCCAAGGGTAAGTACATGCGCTGTCCCATTACTGGATCTGATTCAGCTTGCATTATTGTACTCATTATGAGCCAATAATTATAACCAGTAGATGGATATTTTTGTAAAAGTAGTCTAGCAGTAGCTTGTTGAGCAGAGAAGTCACCTCCCTGGACCTGGTGTAAAAACAAACATACTAACAGATCTTCTCTATTTGGCGTTTTTTCTAATGAGCTTTTTAAAAATTGTGATATTTTTTCTTCTTGACCCGTTTTGCGGAAATAGCACATGATCACATTAAGAGTCGACTCATCCGTAGGGTAGGACTTTACGAGTTCATCTGCAAGAGAGTTAGCCTCTGTAACTTTTCCGGAACGATGAAGTGTCAGTGCTTTCAACGCCTAATATACAGCCAGTTAAAACAGTGAGAGACCAAACCTTTGCTGATGTGCAATCCGGTGTTTTCTTAAGTAGTTTATTGGCTTCTTGTAATGCTTTTTTATAATTACCACTCTCGAACGGTTCTGAAGTACTTCTAATTTTATCCAATCTGCTGGTTTAGAAAACATACCGATTATCGCCCTCAACCTGGTCTCCTGAAAATCCAAACCAACCGACATCCTGGAAGGCTTTGAAACACGCGGTCCCAAAAGACCTCAGCAAACACAAATCCTCAATACAATGTCAAGCTGATGATGTATTTCTCTTATTCAGTTACAAATGATGGCGTTTATTCATGTTAGTTTATGCATATCTGATGGGCAAAGGATTATCCAATGTCCAATTCCTTCTTAATGAGCTTGTGTAAACCTAATGATTTCTTGGTGCATGCTTCATTTTGTCTTCCCATGGTTCTAGTTTTTTGTATTTTCAGCACGTGCAATATACGCATATGCAACAGCTCTGCTGTACCAAAGACGTGGTGCGCTACTTGATTTCCAGAGTGAATCGGGCGTACCATTGCAGTGGGGCTGATCAGACTTGGAAGTCCTATTCTTCCAGAAAAACCTCCTGACAGGCAGGAAGTCTCTTCAAAACACTAAAGTAGAAAGGGAATCAAGACGGTCAGTACATCATTGGAATAACCAGCGGACATGTAAGACACGCAATGCATACACATGTAGCGGTAGATAATTCCCCTGAATTGTTAGCCACAGCATTCACACTGAACATTGGATGCCTACCGTCAATGTTTAAGTCGACTTGCTTAGCTGAAGGTTCATGGTCAAGCATCCACGCAATTTGCCACGCTGCCATGCTACGCTCGGTTGTTTGTGCGTGATCCATAGCTAGTTAAGCAGTCATCCTCACATTACGAATTTGGTCCCAGGACATACTTTGTATTTGAGAGGATCAAACTGGTGTTTTGCTTTGTTTTCGGTACATTTCGGAATAAAGACTATAGAATTTGTGGTCATTAGAGCATGTGTTAGTGTTTTTCTTAATATTCGCAAACATTCAAAGCATGAACCTGTACAAACTGAAAAGCATCTATCAGTTAGGAACAAGGCTGGCAGGAGATTACAGGAGAAAAGTAGACGAGTTATAGTGGCCTGGCATTTTTAACACAATCACGTTCCCCACACAGATTAACTCTCCACGAATATTATTAAACATTTCCAATGCTTGCAATATTCAAACCTCCTCGAGTCGGGTGATTTGAGTTGTGCACCATGCTTAATGCCATATTTAGGTTGAGTGTGGATTAGTGGTAAATGGGGGTGTTCACATCTAGCTTCATAATTCGACTACTTCAGCACTTTGGACTGGTCGCCTTACTAGTTGTCCTGCTCCTCATGCTACTTTTTGGACTTTAGCTTGGTTCTAGGGTTGATGGCGCAGTGACTCTATTTTCTTCTCAACACTCATTCTGTACAACTGCTTGAAAAGTTCATGTGTGTGTCGGTTTGGCTGTGGCCAAAGTAGGGAGCTGTGGTTACTTGAGCTGTCTCTCCTACGCAGTTGGCGTTTGTGTTCACTTTTTATGAAGGGTTGAGCCAGGTCGACCTGCGTCTTTTTATGAGTTAGGTTGGTTCCTCGTATGCTATAGCGTATTCTTCGCCACAATGGCGTATGGATATACACTCCTTGGGAGCTATAATTTTTCAAATCTCGTTGATTTCCGGAGCGCATTTCTCCAATTTTCCTGAAACATAATGATCTTATTTCTCCCGGTCATCTCACAACTTTACGTTACAGAGGTGATGGAGGTCACATGATACCCACTAGACTGCATATACAGGTGAAAAATTACAGTGAACCTGCTGTCCACGAATCACACATAGTAATGAGTTAGCAGTTTGCGATTTGGTTACCTTACAAGAGGTTTTCAGAAACATTGAGTCAAAGGTCTTTGAAAGGACTAGCAGTTACACCTAGCCCGGGATGTTCTGGTCCCATCATGATGCACATTTGTTTTAAACCACAAGTATTTGTTCACACTTTGGTAACACAGGACTGACCCTCCTTGAACCCGAGTTAGGCACCGTGAGGGATTCTGTTGTTACTCACATGTGTAGCAGTAAGTAATACTCCGAGATGTTTAGCATACAACTTTCATCATTCAGCATGAGGTTATGGCCATCAGTAGCTAATTAAGCTGGGTGAGTTGAATGCACATGATCAAATACCCATGCTGCCAAGTGTCAAATAGTTACATTTGACTTCAGCAAAACTGTCCCCCGGCGACATGAGTAAGCCTGCAGATAGAATTCATCTTGTCAAGAAGCTCCGTGATGTGGCCATTCTTTGAGCTAGTTCTGCGGCACTCATGATTTCACTGACACCTTCAATAATTCTGAAAAACAGCTAGTTTTCAAACACTCGCAAACTGATGTCTGTCCAATGGCTCTCCAGATAGCCCTCTTTATGGGCGCAAAACGCTTTAGCACACTGTTTCGGAACGGTTGAATTAATGTCGCTAAACACTGGAGACTTTTCGGCGTAGCTTAGAGAGCTCCTCCATATTCCTACTCAAGGCTATTTTTAGGGGAGTTACCCCTGCTACTTCCATATGCCGTATGCACCAGGTTATTTTGCTTCATCAACATCCTAGTTGTTCAGATTTGGCACTGAAGGCTTCTTCAACTTTTGTTTTTTCAGGATTCCAGCTTTTTTATATCTTACTGCACGTTCCTTGAACCATACATGTGCTTTGACCCGTAAATAGGTGCAGATTTTCTCCCTGATTCACAGATTCTTGGTGGTTCACCAACTTTTTGAGGTTAGCTATGCGGTACAGTCACACTACCACTTTAAACGTCGCTATTTGGCCTCATCCCTGGTTCTTGAGATGATCCTTTCCCACAAAGTACATTTTTTTGGGATTTTGGTCGCGTTAGGACAGCGGCGCCAATAGCTTTAATACTAAGCCGTTTATTAATATTTTTTACTCCCTTCGGTTCCTAGTGTAACATAGGGCTTCAACTACACTTCTCCACTTGCTTCTGTCTTCTGCTGTACTTTTCACCTGCATTCATGTTAGTCCATACTCTTTCAACTCCTCTTCACACGATCTCCTCCATGTCACCCTTGGACGTCCCACTCGCCGCTTCCCTCGAGGGGCTGACGCGCGATGTCACCCAGCGGTCTCCTCAGCGCGTGTCCGATCCATCCCCACTTTCTCTTGCATATTCGTTGGTTGGCGATTCCTTCTTGTTTTGTTTGTTCCCAGAGTTTCTTGTTGGTGATTGTTTCCGGCCCGGCCATCTCATCTTCAGTACAGAGCCAGCGAAGACAGTTGTTGATAAAGGTCTGGCCTGCAACAGGCTGTTGGAAATATTCTTTGTGACCTGTTCGCCAAGTTTTTGATCCGTATAGAAGAACTGACTTGACGTTTGTACTGAAAATCCGACTAAATTTTGTTGTTGATGCTGAGTGACGAAGATTTCCAGATTGGTTTCAGGTTGATGAATGTGTTTCTCGCCTTCCCCCCGATTCTCGCTCGATTTGAGATCCTCGTCCGTTCTGACTGGCCTGTAGTTGAGACAATGCTTCCTAGATACATGAATGAAGTGACCGCTTTCAAATCCCCCTTGCTGATAATGACTGACTCTGGATGTTGCTGCTGTTGTTGGTTGGTTGGTTATTTTCATAACCTCCGTCTTGTCTATGTTTATCTGGAGTCCTGTCTTCGCCGGCTGCTTCTTCGACCAGTTTGTCGGTTTTCGCTTTTAGCCTTCGATTGTGTGTGACATCAAACATAAATCATCCGCGAAATCCAGGTGTCAATGTAGTTGAAGATTGAACGATCGATTCATGGTTGTTTGCTCAAATCCAACTTTCCTGTATTTTCGAGGAGGCATCAATATACCAGTCATCGTCTCATCGGTCGCTGTTCAGAAAGAAGTGTCACAGAATAGAGTTACTGCTTCAGAGTGCAGTTCTGACTCCACAAGTTTACAAGGTATTACTAGTCAGAGTGAAGGTATAAAATCTTTAGGGATTTGTGAGGAAGAACCGAAATTGTCTACTTCTGTTATTAAAGAGTTTGAAAATGATGAACTTGACGGTAAAGTGAATATTCATGATAATGATCATGATACTTCACATTTGTCTTTGTTTGATCATGATGAGATGAGGGATATGCCTACTACTGCTGAGTTGAACAAAATTTCTGTACAACTTGAAGGTGAAGTTGAATTAAATGCAGATGCAGTTGGAGAAGGTATGCATACTTGTCAAACCGTCAGTGTAATTGATCAGCGTGTAGCTCACCTATCATCAGATGCTAGTGCTAAACCGGAGCTGATAGTAAAAGACACCAGTGATGTTATTCTTGCAGTCAGACAACTTTCTGAAAGTCGAACAACAACAAATTCTGATCCAACGCTATGTTCATCAACTGGTATCAATAAGTCGTCGTTGGTGTTGTCATCCACAGTGAAACAGACGCCCATCAACTCGAGTACCTTGTGCAATGACTATGATAGTATTGGTGCGTTTGAAAAGACGAAAGATATTGCTCAGTTTAGTGTGGATAAGCCAAGTGTAAACGAGAGAGTAATTGTTAAATTGACTTGCATGAATAAAGGCATTTCTAGTTTCAAGTTACTATTTGAGTGTTATTATCTTTGGTGTAAATTACTCTGTTTCTACGCTTGATTGATCAGATATATCGTGTGTTTGTTCGTCATCTATATTCTACGATACAATGACATGAGCGTGTTACCGTTCAGATTTGAGGATATAGCTGATAGAGGGAAGTCAGCAAATGAACTCTGTGACGATTTTCCAACCTAGGGCGTCAACCTGAGAAGGGTTGTAGGCGTACTGCTGTAAGTTCTACAGTTCTTCAAGGGTAGTTCGTCAAGGCAGAATTCACCACATTTTATGTGTTGATTGTACATATGTTTGTGTTAAATAGTTGTGTGAGTTCCAATTATTGTAATTAATGATTAATCTTGTGTGTGTCCGGACATTCCACAACTTACAATCGTCAACCTGTGAAGGATTGTAGGCGTACTGGTATATATCCTGCGATTCTTCAAAGGAATTCCATCAAGATATGATCAGCGAGTTTGTGTGTACTGTTTGTATATATGTGTGGTGTGTCATATCAATTGGTGTTTTTTGGATTCATTGTGTTTACTCGTTGTTTTCGTACCTTGTTGTTATTACATAATTTTGTTAAAGTTTTCGTCGTGATTACTTCTGAAGTTGTTTCGAGTCTTCTACATCCGTGAATGGATTGATTGATGTTAAGGACAGAGATGGGTCGTATACGCCGGGGAGGCTAGGCTATTGCTGAGAATGAAATGCACGCGGAGATAGTTGTTAGCTGTGGTCCCACACGTCGGGAAGCAACAGTGTAAACGACCGAGGCTTGCATACGTCACCGTTACTAGAACTGAGGCAGAATGAGTGACAAGCGATTGCAGTGGTAATTGGTAGTGAGTAGATGAGAGGATGTGCATAGAGTATCGTGAGGTGGTGCTATGGTCACGCTGCATTCTGCAAGAGTCATTCTAGCAAGTGGAGACTGTGTTGCAATATGTCAAGAGGATAACTTTAACTGGTAGGCGCAGGTCGTCATTGATGTGTGAGATTTTGCTGTGGGTATGCTTGTGGTGCGTTGGCTTTTCTGTTTGTTTTCCATTTCAGCTCTGTCCGTGTAACCCAGGTCCTCGCACTGGCATCCAAGTCAACGTGTATTAGTGGTGATGTTAGAGAGGAATGGAGAGTGTCAATGTTGTTGAAGATCGAACGATAAATTTATGGTTGTTTGCTCAAATCAAACTTTCCTATATTTTCGAGGAGGCATCAATACACCAGTCACCGTCTCATCGGTCGCTGTTCAGAAACAAGTCAGGAGACAACCGTCAGAAGTAATATTGTGATTTATTGTTGTAATAATTGTTCATTGACCTTAGTTATTATGCTGGTTATATGTTGGTGTCAGAATAAATAATTCTCGAGTCGCCAATCGGTGTATTGGTTTTTGCGTCCGTTAGTACTAAGCATTTCTGAAAGGCTTCGAGGGACAGCGAGAGGCCCGGCGTAGCAAGAGCTGGGCATTAACGGTTTTGAAACGCGATTGACACCAGGAATTCTAGGTTCTCCACACCGGTCTAGGATATCCCTGCATGCTCGTTTCCCACTGTCTGATGACGCATAATCCAGTCCACCACAGTTAGGAATGTCATTTATTGGCGATAATAAGCAAGCACCCTTGTCTGACTCCTGTGTTCACTGCAAACGCCTCCCTGAGTTTTCCGCTGTGGATTACTTGACATGTGCCGTTGTCGTACAGCTGTTGAATAAGGTTGATGAATATTTGGGCACTGCATGCCGTAGCACCCCAGTAGTTTCCAAATTACTTCGTGGTCAGCGCTGTCGAAGGCCTTCTCAAAGTCTATAAAGTTGAGGTAGAGGTTTGATCGCCATTCCATCCTTTGTTCGATGATGATGCGTAGAGTTGCAATCTGGTCAGTACATGATTTGCCTTTCCTGAATCCAGCTTGTTCTGGTCGGAGTTCTGTCTCCAGTGCGTCCTTTAATCTCTCCGGGATGATGCGACTCAGGATTTTACTTGGCGTCGATAGGAGCATGATTCCTCGCCAGTTCTTGCAGAGTCCTAAGTCTCCCTTCTTTGGTAGTTTCACAATGTAACCTTTCCCTCAGTCAGTAGTCACCTTTCCCTCCTTCCAGACCTTTTGCAATAATGGTGTCAGCATGTCTGCTGTAGTCTCTGGGTCCGCTTTCAGTGTTTCAGAGGGTATTCCATCTGGTCCAGCTGCTTTTCCAGCTTTCAGAAGCTTGATTGCGTTCAAGGCTTCAGCTCTCGTTGGAGGATTGGTGTCAACTTGCAGTTGTGTGCGCGCTGTTGTTGGTATTTCTGAACGGGTTGCAGGTGATGGTCGGTTCAAGAGTCCTTTGAAGTGATCCGCCCATTGTTTAGTCTGTCTTTCTTCTTGGTAATTGGGTTCCCTTGGCTGTCTTTTATAGGTTTCGCTTGTGTTGGTCTCTTCCCGGATAGAGATTTGGTTATCTGATATAGTGTCCTCAGGCCCGTTTTGCCTGCTGCCTTCTCAACTTCAGTGGCGGGGTTGTCGTAGAATTGTCTTTTGTCCTTCCTAGCACTCTTCTTCACTTCTTTGTCCAGTGCTTTGTAAGCTGAGCTCAGCGTCTCCTTCTCCTTTCCGTCCTAGCATTGAATCATTTTCTCTCTCACCATTCTCCAAGTGTCCCTTGAGAGCCATTCCTTGTCTTGTCTCTTCTTTCTTCCTAGAACCGTTGAACACGTTTCGTTGAGAATCGCCTTCAGAGACTTCCAATGTTCTTCCACGCATGATTCTTCAGTGATGTCGCGTAGTGTTTCCTGCTTTGCTCTGACAGTTGCAGTGAAAATGTCTTTTGTGGTTGTGTCCTTCAGTTTCTGAGTGTTGAACTTGCATTGTGGCCTATTCCCAGCTATCCTCGAGGCCTTTAGTTTTACCTTGAAGGTCCCTTCTACTAGATAGTGGTCTGAACCCACATCTGCTCCTCTCCTTGATCTTGTGTCCAGTAGGCTCCGTCTCCACTTTCTTGAAATTGAGATGAAGTCTATTTGGTTCTTGGTGTTACCATCTGGTGAAATCCATGTCGTCTTGTGTATATCCTTGTGTTTGAACACACTACCGCCAATCATCAAATCATTGAAGGCGCAGAAGTCTGAGAAGAGTTCACCATTGTCGTTCATTTCACCGAGAGCCTCACGACCCATAGTGAGTTCTCTTCCTGTGTTGTCTCCTCCCAGCTTCGCATTCATGTCGCCCATCAGGATTTTGATATCGCCGTTTGGGACGTTGTCCATTATTGCTTGTAGTTGTCTGTAGAACGCCTCCTTCTTCTCTTGTTCTGAGACGTTTGTAGGCGCATAGCATTGCATGAGTGTAACTTTCCTTCCTTTTGAGTTGAACGTGGCTGTCATTATCCTGGAGGAGATTGGTTCCTACTGCATGAGAGCTTTGGTTGCTGTTGGTGACATCATGATGGCCAATCCCTCGGTGTGCTCGTGGTTGTCCTCTGGGTGGCCGGGAAAGATTACTATCTCTCCAGTAGGTAGTTGGCACCTTCCAGTTCCGTTCCATCTGCTCTCGCAGATTCCCAACACTTCTATTCTGTACCTTCTCATTTCAGCGACTATCTGGGCAGCCTTCCCAGCTGGCTTCGTACATTGTACGAACATTTCAGGTACCCATCCTTACTTTTGCTTTCATCGAAAGAAGACATACCGGCTGACTGGCTTCCCGAAGGCTTTCACCAGCCTGCTTCATTTCACTTCCCCGATTCCAGCGAAAAGTAAGGCTATTGCTTATGTTTTTAGAATTTGTAATATATTTATTCGTTGAAGTTTCTGTGGCGATTTGAGTGAGTTTTACACCCTGGGAGTCGCTAGCACCACGCCCCAACCCTCCCTCTTTATCCGGGCTTGGGACTGGCACGAAAACTAGCGAGCTAGTAATCTATGCAAGGTTAAGCCGTTTACATATACCCATTTAATCCCTTGTCAGATTACATTATTTTACAGATTCTGAGACTTTTGTCATTTGTAACAGCATGAAAGTGAAACAAATGTACCAGATTGCTTTGTGTTGTATCTTTTCTTTCATATGGCATTTTGTTTAACTGCCCGCTTTTTCTAGGTTGATGTTAACAGTGACGCTTTCTACAATTTAATATTGTCATATTCGCAACCGGAATTATGCCTGCACAATCTTTTGAATATAAATCATATGTGACAAGTAATGAATCTAGGCACGATCAAGACATTCACTATAAAATGTCAAAGAAGATCGCTCAGCTTACAAAAGTTGTTTGCATGCTAAATACACGAAGTGAAGACTATGTCGATCTTTTTAAACAAAATTCTAAGATTCATGAAGATGAAATTTGTGACTTGAAGAACTCTTACAGTTCAAAAATAAGGGATTTAGAAAAAAAACTGGAAAAAGAGAGGGACAGTAGTTGTACTGTGCTTTTGCTGGGAAAATGCATTGATGAAAAGCAGCAAAAGATCATAGAGATGGAATCTGTAAGCAACATAAAGTCTTGTTACCACATTTTGCTGTTTGTTCCATCTTTTCCTTAAGTTTTGGTGTATTTTTAAACCTTTCGCAGATAATTTTAGCAAAGTGATTGTCTTCCGAGTCATTTGATTGGTGCTTATTATTTTCATACTAATAACACCACCTCACTTCTCTTATGATGGATTTTCATTTTTTAAGCATTCTTGACACTCTGGGGGGATATCTAGTATATTCATTCAGTTTGATGCCTAATATTTTGAGGATGTTATTTCAAACTCAAAAAGTTACATAAGCAGGCTGATGTTTAGTTATTTCGCAACACTTGAACAACCTCTGTCCTAATGCATGTTCACTAATACCCAGTCAGTATTAATGGTAAGCTTAGCTTTCTGAGCTACTTAAAGAATATTCGAAAAATAATGATATTTACACAGACTAAAGGTTGACGTTATTTTAAGGGAAATTTGTTTGAATTTGTCTGGCAAAGGATTCTGAGAATGTTCATATTAACTTGCAAAAGGGAAGTGAAATAAAGAGTTAAATCCTGGTCAACAAGTTCTCGTTAAAGTAAAACTTAAAACGTCTTAGTTTTCTGAAGCTTATTCGATATATTTAATTTATAGTAATCTGTTTGCTCTAGTCATAGTTGTATTCTAATACTATAAACGCGCACGTTCAATATCCCCCCAATGTTTGATATAATACTGGAAACCTTCCATGGGGGGACATACAACATTTTTCTATAATTGCGCCATAGGTGACTTGTGGATCTGTGAAGCCAGTTTAACTACATATGCCTACTGAGAAGTAAAACTTTGCATTTGTTAACAAACTTTCTCACTGTGATAAAAAGACCCAACACCTTAGTCTGCGTTTTCATACAGTTCTTTATCATAATAAGGGAGTTTGAATTCGGGTAGGATCCGATTTATATATCATCTGAGAAGAAGTGCATCCGGCTGTTGATACTGCTTGGAAAGTTTGAAGTGGGTAAAACAAAGAACTTTAGCACAAGAAAAGTGAAACCCAAACACCTGACAAAAGTGAGGCATACACAGCAGTATAAATCTCTCAACTTTATAGTTAAAAGAGCTTTTATTAGGCTTTCTTCACTTTTTAGTGTTCGAAACTTCTCTAGTTACCCGATAACTATACTTGTAGCTGCAAATGTTAATTTGTGGAGGATGTACCGTTGGTGATATTACACCCACCAAAACCGGCAGTGATAAAGTCTTTTAGATAACTGTAAGTAATGGGACAAGAATTTTGACTTGTTCAGACTAAATATGTATGAACAGACACATTCATTACATACAATATGACATCTATAAATAAAATAGCAGTAAATGTATGAATCACACTGAATGATTTTTATTTGATCACAATCAGAAAGTAGCGTTAGAATAGTACTATTGATTTTACTTATTGTTTTGATACCAAATAATTACTGAGACAGCATTAAGCAATCCCAGCAGACTACTTGTTTAATAACTTTTGAATTTGTGACTAAAACTTTAAAAGAATCCCCATGTTCTAATATTCACATCTAAGCCCTTCAGAATGAGTGGAAACTCAAATAGTTCAAACTTTTTTATGCACTTTCCCGTTCGTCTACATAGGGCAAATTATACGTTTAAAGAAAATTATGCATGAGGTAACTCCACAAGATTCTTTTTTGAACTTTCTCTTTTTTCGTCGATAAAAAGTCAGTATGAAATGATCACGTTAAATATGTCCAGCGGTTTTTTCTTCGTCATATTTGTGCACCACAGATTTTAACTAAGTGGGACAAGACTACAAGCAATACATAACAACATAAAACTGAATGATAGAAAATGGTATTTTCTGATGAATATGAGGAAAGGGAATAAAAGTCATGCATTTCACCAGTATTGTTTGCATAAGTGAGGTTAACTGTATAAAGTAGGTCAAAGGTACTCATACTCAGAAATGCTCTGCATCTGAACTTTTTATGCATCAATCAATAATAACTCGCTGTAGGGAGTTTTCCGTGTTCTTAAAATAATTTATTTAGTTTAATTTAAATAAGGTTTAATAAAATTCCTTGGGGTGAGACGAAGACTAATCATGCTGTCCATATTGATTTTTTAAATTTTTTTATTTACAGCTTGATTCCACACTGTATTATTGGTACAAGTATGGAATTTTCAGCATGGATGTCGGTAGCCCAAATTTTTCAGACCGACCATAGATATCATGTGTGCGTCGGCAGGAAATCGAACATCGGACAATGCGCATGGTCGGCAAGAGTCCTAACCACTGTGCTACTGACGCACAATTTGAAGGCAATATGTTAGCACACAAAATGGGGACAGGTTACGCCAAGATTTTAGCTTGCCTTTTAGTAGCTGTGACTAATAGTTATCAAGGAATTTCCAAGGAGATACTTGAATAAACTCACTACCACACAAGAGCACATGACTTAAAGTTTGTAACCTTTTTAAGATTAGTTAGATAAGCAATAATAACTCAGACGTCAACTTGAGGCTAAAAACAAACTGCAGATTTTGTGCAGTCAAAATAACCGTACACAATTTGTCAATTTTACGCCTTTAACTGTTTTGTACATATCATATCTTAGCCATTTACGTCATAAACTTTGCAATCACACTTCTTGTCAGAAGTCACTTCTGTCATCTAATAATCTGAAACTCAGAAGTTTTAGTTTTTTTAACATTCGAGACATCATCAGGAATGAAGACTAGGCTAAATTCACTGAGGTTATGCTCAGTGATCACGAACCGAGGTTATTTCTAAGAAACGGGCGCCTTTCCTTCACGAAAATGAAGCCCCTTTCAAATGTCTGTACCACTGGCGTCATTAAAAAAATAGTTACTTTGTCATTCATTCTTGGAAGTTATTTGGTATTCTCAAAGGAAGAACTACAGGGGTACTCAATTGCACGCTTTTAACTATTTGGGTTCAAAATTGCTGATTTCACATGAACCATCTGTGATTATTCAAAATAAAATCTGTTGTTTGGGATGTAGGTCCTATTTACATCCCTTAGATTCAGTTATTTCAACTTTATTCAGTTTTAATAGTTACTGGGAATTGATTTTTTGCGATATAAATACGTAAATTAATGCCTACCAGTATCTCCCATGTTTCTAGTTAATCCAAGTCCATGAAGTTTTAACAGAACTCGATTTATAGTACGACTGACTGGTCGTAATAGTGACGTTCCGGATATAAAAGATCTAAATCAACTGCATTGCCCATTGTAAGTTTCTAATCTTTGTCACAGCCATCCTTTGTCGCATGTTTGATATTTGAGTGCATCGAATTTCATAATCACTGACTGCTATCTCCTCTTGCTCAGCTTTCTATAACTCTTAAGATCCTGAAAAGTTTTGGTAATCTCCATTTCTTTTTTCTCAAAGCTTCATTTTATTTCTGTTCATTTTTTGTTTGCTCTTTCTAAATATGGCTATTTGAAGTCATAGACTTTCATGCAGGATTGTGCAATACGTCTCAAATGCAGTTTTTGCAGACGTCTAAACGACTTTAATATCAATTATTTTCTTTTATTAGAAAGTGTGTTGTACATGATACCTTCAAAGTGATATAAAAAATGTCGTTTTCTCACTTTTAACATGATTATGCAGATTTTTAAACTTGATCAGCATTCACTCACTCATTTTTTTTTCAGCAGAACTCAAGTCAACGCTTTTATGACTTCTTTCTAAGATCCTACAAAGGTCTACAGAAATCAGTTTGTCAGTCTAGATGAAACCAATGAAGCGGAACCAATGAGGTTTATAACCTAACCATCTTTTGTGTCTAGGTCCAGAGTCTTATTATCCTGGAATGACAGTACATTTAGAAGGAGCTTAAAAATTATCTTGATTAAAAGATAGTTCGTTTAATAACATATCTTGCATACTGCTAGGTTTAGTCTGGTACAGATTTGTGATAAAATTTTTTACAGTTTTCTTGATAAGTGCCTTATAAAAATGATTAGCTATTCTGCAAACAGATATGAAACAGGTAAAACGCTTGCTGATGTATGAACTTGGAAGTAATTAAGACCAAAGTTTAGAAAAGTTATAAAGAATCTTAATTAAGTATTTGCGAAACATTCGAAAAAATATATGAACACAACTGAGACAGGATGATTTAAACACCACAGGTATACAGGGATAAGTTTATTGTGGTGGACCTTTTCACTCTATTAGCTTAGTTACCCAAATTCAAGTAGAAAATAAAATACCAAATGAGTTTAGTTACGGGAAGAATGTATTAAAGTTTGATTACTTGAGTTTACAAAGGTCCACAGTCCACAATAAACGTAATAGACTCCAGGTGCTGCGGAAAGACTGCTCCAGTAGTAATTCTCCAATGTTAACGTTGCCGGAGGTCGACCAAAGTACGTAGGAAGAAACTACGGTGCTCCTGCAAAAATCAGAGATAGAAAGCAGGTGATTAGGATTGATCGACGGCAGTTGAGATGGTGGAGAAGACGGAGAGTCGAAGGCACAACTATATATTTATTCAAAACCCGAGGTAAAGTCAAAGTACAGAGTTTATGGTTAAAACAAAGTGGTGTACAATATGTTCATTATTTACATAGTAGTAAAATTTGGATAAGTTGATTTTTGAGGACTCCACAGGGCTCCCCCTCTTAGAGGTCCGGAGGACCATCAGTACTGCCCTCGTGGACGATTACATGAATATAAGCAACATAAATAAGGGATAATGTCAACAATATGGATAACAAAAAATAACAACAATAAGGATACAAAGTTAGATCAGGATGTATGGAATGCATCCGTGTCGTATAAAGTTTAGCACATACAAGCACATACAGGAATTTTAAAAAAAAATCAAAACTTGTTATAATTTTAAATAAAAATTTATGTACATAATAAACCATGACATGTTCGTTAACATTTGTGAAATTCATATATAAATAGATATATACATATACTTGGTGAATGCGTGTGCTTGCAGTACAGTTAACGAACAGCAAACAATAATACTA